GGCAGGGCTGTGGCACAGCGGGCAGGGCTGTGGCGCAGGTGGCAGGTCCTGGTGACGCTGGAGTGGGGTGTGACAGTGCCAGTGACGAGACACGGAGCCAACGGGGTCGGAATCCAGCAGGCAGGAATTCCTGCATCACCCAGAGGGAGAAGGAGCCAAAGCAAACCCGGTGCCCAGCACCTCCCTGGCATGTGCCCCCCGGGCCGGGCTGCGGGGACAGCTCGGCCCCCCGGCTGGGGACGTGGGGCCAGCGCAGCCCCCGAGCCCCGGCCCCGCCCTGATCCGGCCCCGATCCCGCAGGGAAGTGGGGCAGCATCCGGGCCAGCGGCCGCATGAGCAGCTACGCCCTGAACGTGGAGATCGGGTCCCGCCTGGCGGGGAAGGACCTGCTGGGGGCGCAGCACAACGGGACCCCCGCCGAGCCCTCCTTCCTGCGGCAGCACCGCGCCTCGCTCTACATCATCGGGGACAAGTCCCAGCTGAAGGTGACACCACACGGCCAGCACCGCCACCTCTGGGGAGGGACGGGGCTGGGAAGGGAATGGAGCCCCAGGAGGGCTGAGGGAGCTGGGAAGGGGCTGAGCCTGGAGCAAAGGAGGCTCAGGGGGGCCCTTGTGGCTCTGCACAAGTCCCTGCCAGGAGGGGACAGCCGGGGGGGTCGGGCTGTGCTCCAGGGAACAGGGACAGGAGGAGAGGGAGCGGCCTCAGGCTGGGCCAGGGGAGCTCAGGGTGGAATCAGCAGGAATTTCCCCATGGAAAGGGGCTCAGGCCTTGGCAGGGGCTGCCCAGGGAGCTTTGCAGTGCCCATCCCTGGAGGGATTTCAAAGCTGTGTGGATGTGGCACTTGGGGACAGGGCTAGTGGTGGCCTCGGCAGTGCTGGGGAATGGTTGGACTCCACGGTCTCCAAGGGCTTTTCCAGTCCAAGGAATTCCCTGCTCCCGAGGGTGGCAGTGGCTCAGGGCAGCCCAGGCCATGCTGTCGCTCCGCAGGGCGTGAAGCCGGACCCGCTGCAGCACTGGGAGGTGGTGCCCATCGAGGTGTTCGACGTGCGCCAGGTCAAGGCCAGCTTCAAGAAGCTGATGAAGGCCTGCGTGCCCGGCTGCCCCTCCAGCGACCCCAGCGTGGCCTACCTGCGCTCCCTGGAGGAGTCGGAGTGGCTGTCCCAGGTCAGTCACCCTCAGCCAGGGCCTGGCCCTCCCCTCCCCTCCCCTGGGGGCTCTGAGCGAGGATGGGCTCCGGTGCCCTGTGCAGGGCAGCACTGGGACACCCTGGGGACGCGCAGGGGGGTGTGAGGGGCAGGGCTGGGACAACGCAGGGCTCAGCTCATGGTGCTGCACGGAGCTGCCAGCCAGGAATGCCGGGCAGGACCTGCGGGGTGCTCCAGAGGGGCTGGGACAGGGCAGTGCCAGGATGAGCCAGGGGCGGCGGGCCAGGGGGACTGGTCCAGTGTGGAGCTGTGGGAAGGGTCCCACTCTGGAGGGAGTGAGGGTCCCCTGTCCCTTCTGCTGCTGCTGTGTCCGAGCACAGGGTGATGGCCCCCGTGACCCCCGAGCGTGGCCTCGCTCCGGAGAAGGGGACACTGTCCCCTCACCCAGCCCAGGAACTCCCTGTGCCCTCCTCACTCCTGGCCTTGCCCTGGCAGATCCACAAGATCCTGCAGATCTCGGTGCTGGTGGTGGAGCTGCTGGACACGGGCTCGTCCGTGCTGGTCAGTCTGGAGGACGGCTGGGACATCACCACCCAGGTGAGAGCCCGGCGCTGGCCGGGGTGGCCCCGTGGCCGTCCCCCCACAGCCCCTTGAGCCCCCTGTCCCCGCAGGTGGTGTCCCTGGTGCAGCTCCTGTCCGACCCCTACTACCGGACGCTGGAGGGCTTCCGGCTGCTGGTGGAGAAGGAGTGGCTGTCCTTCGGCCACCGCTTCAGCCACCGCGGCGCCCAGACCCTGGCGGGGCAGAGCAGCGGCTTCGCCCCCATCTTCCTCCAGTTCCTGGACTGCGTGCACCAGGTGAGCCCTGGAACCTGGGCCAGGGTCCCCCCCAGGGACCAGGGGGGACCCCTGAGTGCCCCCCAAGCGCCCCCAGGTCCACGAGTGTCCGGTGGGAGCCCCAGCTCCCAGGGGGACTCCTCGGTGCCTGCTGGAACCCCCAAGTGTCCAGCGGGACCCCTGAGCACCCGGTGGGAGCCCCAGTGCCCAGTGGAGCCCCCGAGCCTGCAGCAGGACCCCTGAGCCCTGGGAGTGCCCCTGGGGCAGGCTGGAGGGCCCAGCCCGTGTGCCTGGATCCCAGCCATGCCGGGGCCCTCCTGCAGATCCACCTGCAGTTCCCCATGGAGTTCGAGTTCAGCCAGTACTACCTGAAGTTCCTCAGCTACCACTACATTTCCAACCGCTTCCGGACATTCCTGCTGGACTCGGACTACGAGCGCATCGAGCTGGGTGAGCGCGGCGTGCGGGGCCAGGGGTGGCACCTGCCCCTGCCCCTGTCACACCCGGTGTCCCCTGTGTCCCCCCAGGGCTCCTGTACGAGGAGAAGGGCGAGCGGAAGGGCCAGCAGGTCTCCAAATCCATCTGGGATTACATCGACCGCCTCAACAAGAAAGCTCCCATCTTCTTCAACTACCTGTACGCACCTGAGGACGGAGAGGTGAGAGCTGGGGGCACCTGGAGGGCTGGCATCCTCCCTGCAGGAGCAGCTGGAGCTGGGATTTGTCCACTGGGAAGGGACCCCAGAGCCCCTGCAGTGCCACCCTGCCATGGCAGGGACACTGCCACTGTGCCAGGCTGCTCCAGCCCCAGTGTCCAGCCTGGCACTGGGCACTGCCAGGGATGCAGGGGCAGCCCCAGCTGCTCTGGCAATTCCAGCCCAGCCAGGAATTCCTCATGGCCAAGATCCCATCCATGGCTGCCCTCTGGCACTGGGAGCCATTCCCTGTGTCCTGTCCATCCCTTGTCCCCAGTCCCTCTGCAGCTCTCCTGGAGCCCCTTCAGTCCCTGCCAGGGCTCTGAGCTCTCCCTGGAGCCTTTCCCTCTCCAGGTTGGACACTCCCAGTGCTCCATGTGGACACGCTGTCCCCAGGAATGTCCAGCCTGGCCCCGCTGCCCTTCCTGAGCTGCCCCCGCCTCTCCCGCAGGTGCTGAGGCCGTACAGCAACATCTCCAACCTGAAGGTGTGGGACTATTACACGGAGGAGACGCTGTCCGAGGGCCCCCCGTACGACTGGGAGCTGGCGCAGGGGCAGCCGGAGCTGGCGGAGGAGCCGGATCGCCAGGACACGGCGGCCCCGCAGAGCAAGCGCCGCATCATCTGGCCCTGCTACGACAACCGCAGCCGCGTGGAGCCCGACGCCATCTCCAAACTGCTCGAGGTGGGCCGGGGATGGCACCCCGCGGAGCCCCGGCACAGGGACAGCGGCCCCAGGGGGTTTGTCCCCTCCGGGGCTGATGCTGGAATCCCCCCCACAGGAGTTGCACAACCTGGAGATGGAGCTGGGGCAGGTCCCGGAGCGCTGGAAGGACACGTGGGACAAGGTGAAGGCGTCCCAGCGCACGGAGGGGCGGCAGGAGGGCAACAGGGTAGGTGACAGGGCTGTGACAGGGTGTGACAGGGTGTGGGCGTAGCTGTGGCAAGGGTGTGACAGAGGTGTGACAGGGTGTGGCAGGCTGCTGCTGCTGCTGGTTCTGGCGGTGGTTGTGGTGCTGGTTCTGCTGCTGGTGCCCAGCCCCAGCCCCCCTCATGCTGTCCCTGTCCCGCAGACCCCCAGCTCCCTGCTGATGTCATCGGGGCTGTCCCACCACCGGCGCTCGCTGGGCGTGTACCTGCAGGAGAGCGGGGTGGGCTCCACGCTCAACCTCAGCCTGGACAGCGACACCAGCAGCACCTCCACCCCCTCCAGCGGGAAGCCGGGCGGCCGCCGCAGCACCTCCACCCTCTACAGCCAGTTCCAGATGTCCGAGAGCGAGAACAGGCAGGCGGGGCTGGGAATGGGCTGGGAATGGCGGCAGCGGGAGGGGGATCCCTCCCAGGGTTGGGGGGCGGGATGTGGGTCCCGGGGGGTTTCCATCCCTGACCCTGCTGTTCCGGCCCCTTCCTGCCCCACAGATCCTACGAGGGGTCTCTGTACAAGAAAGGCGCCTTCATGAAACCCTGGAAGTCTCGGTGGTTTGTGCTGGATAAAACCAAACATCAGGTACCGGGTGGGCCCCGGGGTCTGTCCTGTCCCTCTGTCCCATCCCATCCCATCCTATCCTATCCCAACCCATCCCAACCCATCCCTGCCCTGCCCTGAGCACGGCTCTCCCGCAGCTGCGGTACTACGACAGCCGGATGGACACGGAGTGCAAGGGCGTCATCGACCTGGCCGAGGTGGAGTCCATCACCCCGGGGACCCCCACCATGGGGGCCCCCAAGACGGTGGACGAGAAAGCTTTCTTCGACGTGAGTGTCCCCAGGGGCTGGCGCTGGGCAGCTCGGGTCGCCGCGGCCCCGGGTGCAGCCCTCAGCCCCTCCTCTCTCTGCCCGCAGCTGAAGACGACGAAACGAGTTTACAATTTCTGCGCCCAGGACGTGCAGCTGGCCCAGCAGTGGATCGACCGCATCCAGAGCTGCCTGTCGGACGCGTGAGCCCGGCTCAGCGGAGCCGCAATTCCAGGCACGGCTCCCGCAGCGGGAGCAGAGGCAGCGCCAGGCTCGAGGCCGAGCCCGGGACTGAGGGAGAGGAGGAGCGGCCCTTCCTCCCACCCGCTGGGCAGGACGGGCGTGTCCGGGGTGGGGTGCCACAGGGAGGGATTCCTCGCGTTGAAGCGGGCGGGGGCCCGTCCCGCCCCCGGCCCCGTCTGAGCCGTGTCGTGACCCCGTGTCCTCCGTGTGCCCCAGCCCCGCGCCGTCTCCCTGGGCAGGGCTCCTGCGCCCCGCACCCCCACCCCACACTGCTGGGGGAGGCAGAGCTGCCCCCTTGTCCTGCCCCTCGTCCTGCCCCCCTGCATGTCTGCCAGAGCCCCCCGGAACCTGCCCTGCCCCTCCCGGCCTGGGAGCGAGTCCTGGGCTCCGCTCCCGTCCCGCTGGAGCCGGGACCTGCAGCTCAGGGGATGGCAGAGGGGACAGAGCCCTGCAGCTCAGGGGATGGCAGAGGGGACAGAGCCCTGCAGCTCAGGGGATGGCAGAGGGGACAGCGCCGAGCACCGGGACCATCCCGTGTCCCACCCTGGAGCCGCTCCCAGCTGTGCACAGGAACGGGAATGCTGGGATTGTTGGGATGCTGCAGGTGCTGGCTCCGTGTCCCTGGGGGGAACGTGGCCATGGCCACTCTGCTCCCGGCGGGCAGGAGGCTCCTCGGGCTGTGGCCAGGGGGTCCCTGTCCTGGAGGGGACAGTCTCTACCTCCAGGCTGGCTGTCCCGGGGGGGCACATTCCCTGCGGGAGGTGCCAAATGCTGCAGCCTCCTGGGTGCCCCTCTGTCCCCTCCGGGAGATGGGGACCAGACCAGCCCCGGGATGAGGGTCCCCTGTGGCTGAAACCACACGGGGCTGGGGCAGGCCTGGGACAGCGGCCCTGCAAGTGCCACCTGGTCTCTGCAGGGTCTCCTTTGCACAGGTCACACCCCACCTCCACCCCCTCAGGGCTCTCCTCCCTCCAACCCCCCCACCCCCGGGTGCCCCCTTTGTGCTCTGCCTGTGCCCAGCCCTGGGGGGCAGCTCCTGTCCCTGTCCCTGTCCCAGCCCCGCTGTCCCCTCGCTGCTGCTGCCCCTCAGTGCCGGGGGTGGCTCTCGGTACCGAACCGGCTCCTGCAGCCCCCCCGCCCCCGCACTGGTGTGAACTGGGGGTTCTGCGTGGGGGACCCCAGAGGGCACCGTGGGGTCACTGCGGCCCCACTGCCGCCCGGGACCCCCCAGCACCCCCAGGACTGACCCCCCCAGCTCCGCCAGCCCCTCCACCCGTCTTGTTTTTAAAGTCCAGCGTTTTATTTCAGTGCAGAGCTCTTTGTACAGTCGCCCCGTTCCTCTGTACCATCCTGGCTGTGCAGGTGTAACACGGAGGTTTTGTAACTTACCTGAGCAGTTGTAGATTATTGAAGTTTCTGTACATTGTGTCAAACATGCAGAGTCCTTGTATTGTATTTGTGCCTAGAGGAAAGGTTATTCTATAAAGAGAAACTAACGGAATTTAATAAAAAAATTAATATGAGAGATGTTCCTTTTGCCTTGCTGAGCACCGGGAACCAGGGCAGAGCCTCGGGCCAGCCCAGGACAGGCTCAGCTCGTGTCACAGGGCAGAGCTCCTGGGGATCCTGGCGCAGGAACCCTTGTACCGTGCTGGATCTGCTCTGTCCCACCCCTGCTGCTCAGGCTGCCACCCTTCCAACCCGACAGGAGCAGAGGGAACGGCCTCAGCCTGGGCCAGGGGAGCTCAGGGTGGAATCAGCAGGAATTTCCCCATGGAAAGGGGCTCAGGCCTTGGCAGGGGCTGCCCAGGGAGCTTTGCAGTGCCCATCCCTGGAGGTTCCAAGGAATTCCTGGAGGTGGCACTCAGGGCTCTGGGCTGGGGACAAGGTGCAGGTCGGGCACAGCTGGGGCTGGGAGGGCTTTTCCAGCCCCAGGGATTCCACAATTCCATCAGGAGCCCAGCCCCGCTCCTGGCCCCGACCATCCCAGAGCCCCCTCGGCGTGTCCTGCAGGATGGAGGAACCCAGCACTGGCACATGAATTTTGAGCTTTTATTGATAGTTGGAATTTACAGCCTAAAACTGACAACATAGAGAGATGCAGATTTTTTTAAAATTTTTTTTTTTTTTTTTTTTTTTTTTTTTTCTTTTTTGGTCACTTTTTTACAAAAAAAAAAAAAGAAAAAACCAAAAAAAAAACCCAAAAACCAAAATAACCAAAAAAGCCACCAGCATCAGATTTACAATATAAAAGTTTTGACAGTAGAGAGACTAAAGTACATCTGGAATTACTCAGAAAAATAAACAGGGAAAAGGCAGTAATTTCAAATTTGTCCCTCGTATTTACACATAATACACAGACATTGCTTACAAAGACCCGGATCCCAATTTAAGGGCAGTTGGCATGGTGAGAAGGCTCCCCCGGCATCGCCCTCGCGCCCGCCCGGGCCGGGAGCGGATCCCGGCGTCTCCCCGCGGCCCCTCCGTGGTTTTATTGCTTTGCGGGGCCGGTGGATGTGGAGAAAGGCATCGAGCCCCCCCCGCTGGCTGCTCCCGCCGGGACACCCCCATCCCTCGGGAACTCCCTGGGGAACCGGGCATGTCCCCGGTGCCAGCGCGGATTTTCAGGGAGACTCGGCTCGGGACACCACGGCAGGATTTGGGAAGAGCGGGAAGAGGAGGAGCAGAGCGACGCTGGAAATCCGGGCTGGGGCTGGGGACCCCCCTGCAGCCCTCCCGAAGCCATGAACCCCCGCCCGGCCTGTTGCATTTATGGGATCTCCTCTGCTCAGGGAAGGCTCCAGCTCCCATCCCACAGCCTGGAATTAGCTCTGCCTCAGCCGGGACGTGGAGATGGCACAGGTGCCATTCCCAAGGCCTTTTCCCAAAGTGAGCCAAGGCTGAGAGCCAGGCACGGCCGGGATGGGCACGGAGCCCCCGGGATGGGCACGGAGCCCCCGGGATGGACACGGAGCCCCCGGGATGGGCACGGAGCCCCCGGGATGGGCACAGAGCCCCTGGGATGGGCAGGGATCCCGGACGGAATCCGCTCCCTCAGGAGACACCTGGATGGCCCTGCCAGCCCCGGGCACCACTGTGCTCCCAGAGCCTCCTGCTCTCCTGGAGATCCGGAGTTATTCCCAACAAACAGCCTGCCTTGGGTCACTTCTAGGTCAGTGTGGGGTGCTGGGGCCGGAGGCGGCACCGGGGGAGGAATCCATGGTTTGTGCTAACAGTCACAGAGCCGGGTGTTCCCAGCGAGCCCCTGCACGGATGGAAAAGCCCTGGAACAGCGGCTCCAGAGGCTCCAACTCAGCAGCGAACGTGGAACGCTCCGAGCGCGGATGGACGGAGGAGCCGGGCGGGAAAGCGGAGCCAAGGAGGGATTTGCTGGAGCAAACTCACCAGGGAAAACCACCAGGAACCCCTGGGGACCGGGACGTGCCAGCTGGGATCAGCCCCCGGCCACGCGGACCCCGGGACTCAGGAGGGACAAAGGAAAGTCTGGAAAACGTCACATCAGGGAGAATGCCTGGAAAACTCCACGTTTCCACCCAAATTCCCCTCAACTGCCACTGCAGCCGGGTCAGACATGGAAGGCAAGGACAGAAACAAGGAAAAGGGAAAAACCACGACCTCTGAGAGCCAGGGACACCCCGGGACGGCTCCAGCCCGGAACAGCCGCTCCCGCCCGGAGGAAATGGAACAGGGATAAAAGTAAGGGAAGGAGTCGCTCCACTCTCAGCCCTGGGAGCCCTGGAATTCCCTGCCCAGCGCCTGGATTGGGATTGGGATTGGATTGATTTGAGCTGACGCCGGAGCCCATTGGGAAGGTGCAAATCTCCTGCTCCAGGAGATCCCAGCAAAGCCAAAAGCTCTGGGATAAAGGGACTGGGGTGAGTTTAGAAATCTCTGCAATAAATTTTTATAAATATTCCCTATTTACAGCCAACGCTGGGAATGGGAGCGTGGGGAGGGAAGGGGGAGCCAGGGACACGCTCAGAGCAGCTCCTGCCTGTCCCCAGTGTCCCCTCTGCCCTCATTCCACGGATACATCCCCTCTGGAGTGCTCTTGCCTGTCCCCAAGGCTGGGGGAGAAACCAACCACCTCCTTCCCTGAAATCCCAAGGATTTTCATGCCAAGGTCTCTCCTCATCAGTCTCATGGTCCAACCCTCGAGTCAACCTCAGCCAAACAAGAAACCCACAGGAAAGGTTCTGGCTCCCCTGGGAAGGGGGATCAGGTCCTGTTCTAAATCAGCCAGAAATCCAGAAATCCGGGACCCACAGCGCGTCCTTTGATCCCCCACAGGAAAAGGGGGATCCCAGCCAGGGAAACCCCACCCCAACCCAGGGAATTCCCAGTTCCAGCCCCTCCCTCGTGCCCAGGTCCAGGTTGAAGGCTGGATCCCAGCCCTGTCCCCTCCACTCCGGAGGCCGGAGCATTCCTGGGGTTTGCCAGGGGACAGGAGGACAATTTTAAGAGGGAAAAGCTCACCAGGGAATTCTCTGGGACTGTCTGGCAGAAAATCCCTTTCCATTCCACAAACCCCAGACCCAGCAGGGGAATGTTTATATTCCAAGGGGGGGGATATTTACAGGCCTGGGAAGTTTTCATTTAAATTCCATTAAATAATAAAATATTTAGGATTAAACACTAATTCCATTCCATCAGAAAACCAGGAATAATCCTTTCTTTCTGGTGCTTTTAGCCCAGTTTCTGTCCTACCTGGAGACAGCTGCAATGCCCAGGCTGGAGTCTGGGATCCCTCACAGGAAATGGACACAGAATTCCCGTTCCCTGCCCCACAGCCCCACTCCCACGGGATCTCCATTGTCCCCTGGGAAAGGATCAACTTCTCCCTGCGTGGCCCACAGGGAACCCCGGGGCTGAGCATTCCCAAAGGATGTTTTCCTTCTGTTCTGTGGAATTCTGACAGGGCCCCATTCCCAACAGGGAAGTGGCTCAGGGGGTTCCTGTGACCAAATCCCAGAGCTCGGCTCTGCCCGGAGCTCATGGGGACACTGGGATGGATGAACTGGGACACTGGGATGGGATAACTGGGATACAGGGATGGGCTAAGTGGGATACAGAGATGAACTGGGATACTGGGATGAACTGGGACACTGGGATGGGTGAACTGGGATACTGGGATAAACTGGGACACTGGGATGCACTAACTGGGACACAGGAATGCACTAAGTGGGATAAGATGCTCTGTGAGGAGCAGAGGGAAGAGCACAGGGAACAGAAATCCATTGTTGGAATCGGGATGGATTTAAGGCACTCGGAACAGTGGGAATTGGGAATGATTGTTATCCACGGGCTTGGGCACAGGACCTTCTCCTGTTTCCCGTGGTGTGGGGTGGAACAGGACTGGATCCAAGCTGGAATGGGAAGAGGTGGCTCCTTCCAGACTAAATCCAAGGCTTTGGATTGCTTTGGAACCACCCACCCGTGTGGTCAGCGCCGTGCCCTGGAACAGCTCCTGGATCCAAGGGGCCTCAGAGCTGGAAGTGTCTGAGGGAGAAAAACCTTCTTTGGGAAAGCTGCAGGTCTGGAGGGAGGGGGGAGCAGGGATGGGAATTGCAGGATGTGATGAACACACGGGAATTAACTGCAAATTAACAGGATCCAGGAGAGGGGAGGGGAGGGAAGGGAAGGGATTGGGATTGTGACTGGGATTTTCCCCACTTTTCCAGATTCTGGCCAATCAGACACAGATTGGAGTTTGAACATTCCTGGGACCACAGAGAGGAGCAGGGAAAGAGCTGAAGTGTCTGTGCAAAGTCACTGCCAGGAGTGGGAACAGGGAGCTGAGGAGCTGGGAATGGCTGCAGGGAGCTGGGAATGGCTGCAGAGAGCTGGGAATGGCTGCAGGGAGCAGGGAATGGCTGCAGGGAATGGCTGCAGGGAGCTGGGAATGGCTGCAGGGAGCTGGGAATGGCTGCAGGGAATGGCTGCAGGGAATGGCTGCAGGGAGCTGGGAATGGCTGCAGGGAGCTGGGAATGGCTGCAGGGAGCTGGGAATGGCTGCAGGGAATGGCTGCAGGGAGCTGGGAATGGCTGCAGGGAGCTGGGAATGGCTGCAGGGAGCAGGGAATGGCTGCAGGGAGCAGGGAATGGCTGCAGGGAGCAGGGAATGGCTGCAGGGAGCAGGGAATGGCTGCAGGGAGCAGGGAATGGCTGCAGGGAGCAGGGAATGGCTGCAGGGAGCAGGGAATGGCTGCAGGGAGCAGGGAATGGCTGCAGGGAGCAGGGAATGGCTGCAGGGAGCAGGGAATGGCTGCAGGGAGCAGGGAATGGCTGCAGGGAGCAGGGAATGGCTGCAGGGAGCAGGGAATGGCTGCAGGGAGCAGGGAATGGCTGCAGGGAGCAGGGAATGGCTGCAGGGAGCAGGGAATGGCTGCAGGGAGCAGGGAATGGCTGCAGGGAGCAGGGAATGGCTGCAGGGAGCAGGGAATGGCTGCAGGGAGCAGGGAATGGCTGCAGGGAGCAGGGAATGGCTGCAGGGAGCAGGGAATGGCTGCAGGGAGCAGGGAATGGCTGCAGGGAGCAGGGAATGGCTGCAGGGAATGGCTACAGGGAGCAGGGAATGGCTGCAGGGAGCTGGGAATGGCTGCAGGGAGCAGGGAATGGCTGCAGGGAGCAGGGATTAACTGCAAGGATCAGGGATTAACTGCAAGGATCAGGGAATGGCTGCAGGGAATGGCTGCAGGGAGCTGGGAATGGCTGCAGGGAGCAGGATTAACTGCAAGGATCAGGGAATGCATGAGGGCCAGGGAACAGCTGCAAGGACCATGGAACAGATGTGAGGAGCAGGGAACAGCAAGGACCAAGGGATGACTCCAAGGACCAGAGATGGACTCCAGGGAGCCAGGAATTCACAGGAGGACATGGAAGGCACACAAGGACCATGGAACAAGGGAACTCCAGCCCAGCTCTGGGCTCAGGAGTGGAGCAGCCAGAATTCCTGGTCGCAATCCCAGCACCCCAGGGGCACTCGAGGTTCTCCAGCAGCATTTTGGGAAAGAAGAGTGGGAGAAGCATTTCCATGGAGAGAAGAACATTTGCTGTGCCTGTGGATCCTCATGTGTGGATCCATGAGATCCAGCCAAGGGCATCCTCCAGCAGTGCCCTCACTGCCAAAAGCACCAAACCCATCCCTAGGGGGTTGGGGATTCCCTGTAAGGGAATCCCCACAGCATTCCCAGAGTTCCTACAAAGGGAACAGCAAGGACCAAGGGATGACTCCAAGGACCAGAGATGGACTCCAGGGAGCCAGGAATTCACAGGAGGACATGGAAGGCACACAAGGACCATGGAACAAGGGAACTCCAGCCCAGCTCTGGGCTCAGGAGTGGAGCAGCCAGAATTCCCGGTCGCAATCCCAGCACCCCAGGGGCACTCGAGGTTCTCCAGCAGCATTTTGGGAAAGAAGAGTGGGAGAAGCACTTCCATGGAGAGAAGAACATTTGCTGTGCCTGTGGATCCTCATGTGTGGATCCATGAGATCCAGCCAAGGGCATCCTCCAGCAGTGCCCTCACTGCCAAAAGCACCAAACCCACCCCCACAGGGGAATCCCCACAGCATTCCCACAATTCCTACAGAGCTCTGCAAAACTACCTCTGGGCATCAAAATTACAGGAGAAAGGATTTCTTCCTTGTTTCCATCTGTCCAAGGAATTTGAGGGAATCAAAAATAGAAGGGAAGGCTCTGCCTTCCAGAAAAGCCCCGAATTCAGGAAGAGAGGAAAATCCCTCTCTTCCCATCAGCATCAAATACAAAAATACAGTTTCCATGGGAATATCTCACTGCTGGGAGAGGTGAGGACCACCAGGGAATACTGGGAATTCTGTACAAATCCAGGTGGGGGCTGGGACACCACAAAGCCCTTCCTGGATGAGGTAAGAGAGGTTCAGGTGAGCAAAGCCACCGGGGAGGAGCCAAATTGTTCCTTTTCCATTTGTTTGTCCCAAAGTTCAGCCCGAAATACGCCTGAAAACTCCTGGGTTTGCTGGAGCTTCCCACCATGGAGGGAAAAACCAGGATCAAAAATCCCATTCTCAGCCCAAGCCCAGCAGCATTCCTGATAAAGTCAGAAATGTTATCCAGGACAAAACCAACGGGAATTGATCCAACCCACATTCCAAAGGATCTCAGACTTTCACTGACGGAATGTTGGTGCTTCAAGGGCACCATTCCTGCCACTGCCACACGTCATTAACTAACACAGGTAATTATTCACTAATTATTCATTAACACTGCTGAATTTTAGAGCCGATTCCGGAGCGGTAACACCAAAATCCCAAATCCAGTCTCAGCAGGGTGAAGGGAGAACAGTCACAAGGAAAGCCCTCCACCCCGGGTTTCCATGGATACCACAGCAGCACACCCCATTCCAGAGCAGGGCTGAGCCTCCAGCCCTTCCCTGAGGACACAGCCAGCATTCCAGGGAGCACATCCCTGTCCCCCAGAGGGGAGCACCGGGAAGCAGCACGGGACGGAGCCAGGAGACAATGGGAAATGTTCCACAACAGGAACAGCTTCCCAAAGGTGGGACGGGACCAGGAGAGTGGGAATGGGAAATGTCCCATGGCAGGAACAGCTTCCCAAAGGTGGGACAGGACCAGGAGAGCGGGAATGGGAAATGGCAGAGCTCCCAATCCCAACACGTGCAGCTGCTGCTGGCGAGGAGGGAGCAGGAATTCTCTCAGGGCAGCACCGAGCCCAGTGAGCCCCAGTTCAAACCAGTTCAGAGCCAGTCCATGAGAGACAGGACAGCAGGAAGACAGGAACAGCTTGGATACACCCTGGATACAGCCCAGACACACCCTGGACACACCTTGAGCTCTTCACTAAGCACCACGCTCCAGTTTTTCTGATAGATCAATTCTGTTTTTTCCAATAAATTCTGGGTTTTTTTCAATGGATCAATTCCCAGCCCACCCAGTGGGGCAGAAAGGTCCCCTCAGGATGAGAGGGATCCCCGAGGGGTTGGGATTTCAAGGCTGGCACAGGGATGTGCTCCAAGGATTGCCACTGATAAATCAGGATTTTAATGACAGTTCCCTGGCCAGTGTGGGAAAAGTAACTCTGGGATGCCACTGGAGAACAAGAAAGTAATTCCAATGATATTTCCTTCAGATATGTTCTCTGGGAATGTCCCTGCACCTCCACTCCAGACCTTTCACTGGGAGGTCTGGGAACTGGGATGCCCAAACCCTTTGGAACAGACACTGAGGGCAGCACAGGGCTTTTGGGGGATTTTTTTTCTTTTTTTTTTCCAATCTGTGCCCCTCAGGGTTTCCATTCCCTGCCCACCTTGATGAAACCTCGGGGTGAAACCTTGGGATTCCATCCCAGGGACAGCAAAGCCTTGGGACACTTGGGGAATTTCCCTTGGGCTTTGCTGAGGACACAGGACCCCAACAAAGACCCGGGATTTTGCCTGCCACAAGAAGAGAGGGAATTCTGTTTTATAGAAGTTTTTGGCTGTGGAATTGCTGAGGGAGTGATCAGAATACTCCCTGCTGGCTGCCCTTCCAGGGTGCAGGGTGCAGTGGGAAGAGGACTCCCTCTGGGACACGCAGGGAACTCTGGATGCCCCTGGACTGAGGGGGTACGGAAGCCCCCCAGCCCGAGCCCCAGGAATGCTCAATCCCAGCACCCTGCTCCCTCTGCCGTGGGATCACAGCTCCACACACGCTGGGGTTTGGGATTCCCAGCCCTCCAGCTCTGCACCCAGCTGCCCCCACAGGAGCCTGGGAAGGGGCACCCGATGTGACAGGGATGGGGACGCTCCCAACACCACGGGGCTTTCCCATCCCCACGGAGCCCGTTCTCCCCACATCCCCCCAGGGACAGGCGTGCCACCATCCAGGAATTACCTGGGACTGGCCAAAGGGATGAGTTTAGCTCTAACTGTGCCCAGGAGCCCACTCCCCTCCCCTCCCATCCCACTCTGGAGCAGTTGGCACAGCGGGATCACCGGATCCCTGGATCAACGCCCAGGCAGGCAGAGCCACTGCAAGGAACATTCCAGAACCATGCCCCAGGAACCTGGCCTTGCTGCTTTTGCTCTTGACCCTGGAGATAAAAAGCCAGCTCCTCATGCTCCCAGTGCCCCCCTCCCAGGGTTCTCAGGAGATCCAAGTGCGTGTGGATGAATGTCCCTGGAATGACACAGATCCGTGTCCAGCCCCACCCTGTGCAATGGGAGATTCCAGGCATGAGGGAAGCGTGGAGCAGGACTTGGGGGGAGCCCAGCAGGGCCAGGGGATCAGGGGACACAGAGAATTCCATCCTCAGAAGCCAAGAGATGCTGCTCCAGCCCTAGAAACCCTTCTCTGGAGCACAGGGAGAAGGAAAACCCAGGTGGGACACCCCAAGCCCTCCACACCCCTGTGTCTCCGGAGGGACGGGAAGCTCTGCCTCAGAAGGATTCCCATTCCTGGTTTCCCCACAAAAGCACCGGAGCCAGGTCTGGGTCAGCCCCTGGCTGGTGGGAAGAACGACCCCAGGGAGTGGAGAGGTGGAATGAGCTGAGAGCCCCAATCCCAGCCGTGGAGGGATCATCCACAGGCACCAAACCCATGGAATTTGTGCATCTCCACAGGCCTGACCAAGCCCCAGTGATGTGTCTCAGCACTAAGTAATAAATTAACCCACTAACGAGCCCCCAGTAACGAGCTGCGTTCAGATCTGGATATGCCCAAGGATATTATTATTATAATAATCATTATTATTAATATAATTATTATTAATAAAGCTCTCACTGACACTCAGGGACTCGAAGCCAAAGCTGAGGAACGCCAGGCTGGAATTGCAGCAGAAGGCACAGCCAGCCCCATCTCTGGGAGCCACCGTGGGGTCACTGCTGCCCCATCCCTGTCCAGGTGGAACCACTGCTCCCAAAGCTCAGCAGCTCGGGGGTGGAGGCCCTGTCCTGTCCCTGCTGTGACCCCACCCCACCCAAAGCACTGCTCCCACGGGAAGGGGTCCGAGCTGGAAGGATGATCCAGCTGTGGGACATTCCCACACGGATCTGGGCACAGCTGCCCCTGGGGCAGGCAGGGGAACAGGCTGGAAGGGCACCCTGCCATCCCTCAGGATCCAGCCAGGCTGTACCAGCACATGGATCCTTCAGCTTCCATGGAATCAGCTGTGGGGCCCCAGGAATGCCTGATGTACAGCAGAACTCTAGCACCAATCCTTGGAAAATTAAGACTTTAATGTGTCTCCAGTCAGGACCTCAAAGCCACTGATCTTGTCTGAGAGTCCTGGCTGGAGTGGGATTGATCCCCGAACACCAAGCAGGGGAAGCAAAGCACAAAGTGAGATTATTTTTCCCTCCCAGTGCAATTAACTTTAAATTATTAATTTAATAATTAATTCAGCGAGTGAAAACTTCCAGAACAAGAGCCCTGCACCACCTGATTCCCAAGGAATGGGGGCTGGGGGACAGCCCAGCCCTGCCAGCAGCACACGAGTGGCCCACAGCCCCAGTGCCCTCCGGGATGCCAGCCACCTCCAGCAGCCAGCTCCTGGGATCCAGCCCCTGCTCCCCTGGCACACAGGGACCCAGGGGGCAGCCCCAGTGGGAACGCCTGGCTCCCCTCACTGCCCTCCCAGCCCAGGGGAGGACATCCCACGAGCAGACACCACAGCACAAGGAAGGGATTTTGGGCAGCCAGGCTGCCCTGCTGGGGATGTGAGGTGCTTCCCACCCTCGGGAATGCATCCCAAAGCAGCGGTCTGGCTCCCTGTGTGCCAAGCTCCAGGCTTTGCTCCAAAGGGAGGATTTCTCAGGATTCCACATCCCGGGGGTTCCAGCTCAGCTGCCCCAGGTGGCCCAACCCCACCCCCCCCAGTGCCCCTCATGTGCCCCCCAGGCTGGGCTGGCAGTGAGCTCAGAGCCTGGCACCGGCATGGCATTCCCGGGAGCGGGGCTCCAGCCTGGGCACATTCCACATCCCACATCCCACACCCCACATCCCACATCCCAGCTCCAGGCGCTCCCCTCCCCTGGCCCTGCTCTCCCATCCCCCCTGAGGGATCCGGATGTCCCCACGGCTCTCCCATGCCCCCCCCCCCCCAACGCTGTCATCACCAGGTACAAAGTGCAAAAGTGTTGCTGTTCCTGCATCCATTAAAAACTTTAAAAACAGAACAAAACAAACAGAAAAAGGATTTCCATCATCATTTGCAAATACATTAATTCAGTCTCCAAAGAGCCAGCAAAACCCTGGTCACCTCCCCGTGGGCAGGGTCCCCTGGGGGCCAGCACGGACATCGGCAGGAGATGCCACCTCCGAGCCGGCCCAGCCCCTGCCCTGATCCACCACGTGTCCATGGAGAGCCCGGAGCAGTGCTGGAATGCAGGGACATCCCCGGCCTCGGCCCTGCCAACCCAATCCAAGCCCTCCCTGCTCCCCCCACGGAAGTGTTGGCATTCCTCCTCTCCTGTGAAATGTTTCTGGTAAGGCTTTATTGCTCTACAAAGCGGTGCAAAGGCTGCCCGAGGACAGCTCCATCAGGAACTTTGGTCACACGGCTGCGGGATTTGTGCGCTGGCCCCGGCCGCCGCTGGACCTGCTACCTTCCCAAGAGAAGCTGAATACTGTGTGCAATAACACTGGGAAAACAGCACTGAACCCCAAATCCAAAACAAAAACCAGGGGCACGGGGAAGGGGACAACTCAGATCAGGCAGAAGGCTTGGGAAGAGCCCGTCATTCCCGTGAGGACTGAACTCAATGCTACATTTCGACAATGCCGAGTGTCTTTCCGAACGGATCGGTGCTGTTGGATCTGCGTGTCTGGTCCTGAACGCCAGCTCGCTCTCATCAATGCAGCATTTATTAAAAAATAAAATTAAAATGAAAAAAAAAATAATAAAGAATTGACAAATTGCATCACCAGGGAGCAGCCTGGCCTGGCTCACACACGTCCCAGGGCGGCGGCGGCATCAAGCGGGGCCGTTCAACGTGGCTTCGGCACAGGGCAAGGGCTCGTCGCTCCTGCAGGGACACCAGGGAGCAGCCTTAGGGACACGGCACACACCACGAGAGCTCCCCCAGCTTCCCTCATCCCTCCTGGGAACGCCTTTCTGCTGGGAGCCCTGCCCTCTGGCTGTGTTCTGTGTGCCCAGGGAAGTGGAACTCCCCCAGTGCCTCGTGGAATGTTTACAGGGAAAATCAACATGGAATCAGGGAATGGCCTGGGTGGGAAGGGACCTAAAAGCTGTCTAGTTCCAACCCCTTCCAAGGTGATCAGAGGGATGGGGCATCTCTAACATGAAGGCAGGCTGAGAGTTAGGAATGTTCAGTGGGGGAGAGCTCAGAGCCCCTGGCAGGGCCAGGTCCCTTCCCACCCAGCCACGCCAGGATTGTGCCCTCACCTGTCTCTCGTGGCCGTTTCTGTGGCAGTTGTGACAGCAGTGGCCACTCTCTGGTGCCCGTCCGTGTGCGTGGCCGCGCTGTTCCGGGCTCCTCGGGGGGCAGCGGCCGTCGCGGCGTCGGCCGCGGGAAGCGTCTCCAGAGCCTTTCCGTCAGAGCCGCTGCGGGACAGGGCAGGGACACGTCAGAGGAGCTCATGGGAAAGGCAGACCCACGCTGGAATGGGGCTCCAATTCCAGTGGGGGAAACGAAATTCCTCCTGCTCTCCTCACACAGGCCTGAAGATCCCATCGGGAATGGGAACTGGCAGTAAGCTGGGATCCAAATGAGCGCGCACATCCTGGAGGCTCCGCGTCCCAAACCCCACGGGACACACCAGAACAGCTCCTCGAGGGAGGCATGCCCAACTCCTGCTGCAAATCCAGTCTGAGAGCTCCCAAAGCACCACTGCCACTGCCATTGCTGGGGTGGCACAGCCTGCTCTGCTCCACAGCCTCTGCCCAAGGGACTCCTCAGGCTTCTGGGACACCCAGAAAATCCTGCGTTTAGGGGCAGATCCTAAAACCCCATGGAGGAAAGCCCCCAGGGATTGGATGTCCAGAATCCAAACATGCTGAATGAAGGTGCTCCAGGGACCACGGAGGTGCCACCTGAGGGACAACATCCCCAGTGAGGCACCAACAACCAAAACTCAAATCCTGGGAAAGGAGAACTGCAGAACAAACCCTCCCAATCTCTTGTTTGGAATAAACCCACCCAGGAGGAGGGATTTCTGTGCACATCCCATTTTTTGGCTTCCAAGGCAGAGGATGAGCTGCCCCAGGAATGACTTTCTTCCCAGTTTCCATCCAGAACAATTCTTTCTCCCTCTCTCCCAGAGCAAACCTCCACAAAAGGGAGGAAAGCTGGAGATGGCTGAGCTGGAATCCTGTCACAGGCTCCGGGGGCGTTTATGGAATAAAATAATCCCAGCTGGATAATTGGACATGTGATGGAGATTGGAGACTGAGGTTCTATTTCTGGAGCACTTCTCTTGAAAAAAACCATGAAAATGAGGAATAATGAGATCCAAACACTCCCTTTCCTCCAGGGCTCACAAGTTCCTCAGAAGTACCAAAATACACCTTGGAGAGACACAGGGATGGAGCCGCGTTCCCAGGAACGTCGCTGGAAAAAACCACTTCCCACACAAAAAAACTGGAGCTTGACATTTCCATGGTTCTAAGAGAAACTTCTGAAGCCCAATCCCTGGAGTTTCCAGGGCAGGAGGATTCCAGAGGTACCTCAGCACCCACGGGGGCTTGGGAATTTCTCTGCCTTCCCTGGACTCCTGGAAAATTCCAGCTGGACACACAGGGCTAGGTGACACAACCCAAACAAGGACTTTGTGTGGGATGTGCTGTTGTCCCCTGGACACTCCAGGGCTGGGACCCCAAACCTCCCCGGGCAGTGGGATCCAAACTGGGAAACTGAGAGCAATTCCTGAGCTGCATCTCCCTAAGGATGCCATGGGCAGCTGGGATGGGGCTCACAGAGGGTGGAACATCTGGAGGATTTACTGGGCTGCAACATCTGGTTTTCCACAGAATCCACAGAGGCCTTGGGCAGCTTCAAGGATAAAAGACCTCCAACTGGATTCCAGGGACAAGGGGAAGGAAAACCCTGAGTCTCTGAGAGCTCCAAGGAGAATCAGAGATCCCTGTGTGGATTCCAGTTATTCCAGGGGCACAAGGGGATGGAAAAACTGTTCCCATGCAACAGGAATGGGGTTTGGTGCAGGTTTTGGGGAAGTGCTTGGAGAGAGTCACAACCCACCCAGTGACTCCAAAATGTTCCTGATTTCCCTGGAATCGCTAAGGAAGGTGGTAACAAATGGATATCCCCACTGCAGGCTGAGGGGTCTGGGAGAGCTGAGGCCACTGGGAAGGCTCTGGGTGGTGATTCCCACTGGGAGCCCAGGCCTGGAGCAGCTCCAGTCCCGGCTGTGGCACCGCCCCTGTCCCCCCACAGCTTCCCCTGGGATCTCTGGCCAAGGACACAGCTGTGGAGAGCCACAGACACCTGCCAGGGGAGGCCATGGGTGCCACAATGGAATCAGCTCTGGAGAAGGGCAGGCAGGCAAAGGCAGGCAGGTTCAGGAAGCTCTATCCCTCTGGAATGTGGTACAGACACTTGTCTGGAGAGGAAAACATTCCCAATGTGCCAAACCAGGAACAAACACTTCCCTCCTGCCAGGAAAGCAGGGAAGAGGTGAGAACATCTCCAAGAGGATGGACACAGGAACAGCTGGAGCTGGGCTGGGGAGGGTTAGGTGGGGATCAGGAAAGGCTCTTCCTCCAGAGGGTGATGGCACTGGAACAGCTCCCCAGGGAATGGGAATGGCTCCAGAGCCCCAGGAATGCCTGGACAGCTCTGGGATTGTTGGGCTTTCCTGGGCAGTTGGACCAACGACCCAGTGAGTCCTGCTCAGCACATTCCCTGATCCTCCTGGGAAGCCAGCCAGCCCCAGGCAAGGTCCTGCTGTGCCCACACCACGGTCCAGGGGAGGAAAAGCACCTGGAGCACAGCTTGGATCAGATCCAATGGATCCAACTGCACACAACCCAGGAGAAGGAGAGGCTGCTTTCAGCACAGATGGAACTGCTGTGCCTTCCCTCACCCTCTGCTTCCCACCAAGCCACAGCCAGGCCACTCCCAAGCACAGAGAGTGCATTTATCAGAACGAATGCATTTATCAAACTGAAATATGTCAAAATTAACTGTGTTTACCAAAATGAATGCATTTATCCAAATTAACTGCATTTATCAGAATTAATGCACTTATCAAAATCAAATGTACTTATCAGAATTAATGCAATTATCAGAATTAATGCATTTCTCAGAATGAGCTGCTCTCGACCTAACAGACCCTGGGATAACTCCTGCCCTAATTCCAGGGAATTCTGCAATCCCAGTGGTTTCCCAGCCCCCCGGGCCCCCAGGAGCTGCTGCTGGCTGAGCACACCCAGGGATGACCCCAAACTGTCACCAAGCATCGTTGAAGGAAACTCCTGATCCTGAGTCAGGTGCACAAACCCAGGGACTCAGGTAAAAAACACAAGGAAATCCATGGCAGAGTATGAGGAAAAACCTCAGAATCTTAGAACTGGGTAAAATCTCTGTGGATGCAGCAGATGCTGACTGGGCTGGGCAGCAGCTCATGCCCCATGACTGGAGCAGGCTGGATTGAGGATCCAATTCCTACAGACCTGCCCAATCCCTGCATCTCCTCCAGCCTTTCCTGGTGCTTTTATCATTGAACGCCTTTGGGGAAAACGAGACCCTGAGTGGGTTAAACCTTTCCCCCATGGCTGCAGGAGCCTTTACTCTGATTTTCTGAGCGATCCCACCTGGGTCCAATCCCAGATCATGGACAGAGATGCTCCTGTGACACTGGAGTGGCCCAAAGGAGCCCCAACCCTTCCCTGGAATAACCCTGTGCTAAATGTCCCTCAGCTCCCCCCGTGCCACGCCAGGGGCAGGACCTGCTCCCAGGGGACACGGAGCCCACAGGGAGGGGACACTGGAACCACGCGGGGCCATCCCAGGGGCCATCCCTTCCCACCTGGAGGGAGCTGCCCTGTCCTTGCTGGGCTCCTGCGCCGTGGATCCCGTGCCAGCCTTGGCCTTGTCGTCGTCGTCGTCGTCGCTCTCGGAGCTGCCCGAGGAGCTGCTGTCCAAGGCCACCAGCGGCGCCTTCCGCGTCCCACACGCGTTCCACACACAGGGAGAGGCAGCAGTGCTGGCTGGGGGAGGAACAGCCCACACTGGAACCTCAGGAAAGCTCCCTGGAACAGCCTGAGGGGTCAAACAGGGCCTGCAGCCACTGCAGATGGTCTGGGAATCGTGGGATGGGTTGGGTGGGAAGGATCTCAAAGCCCACCCAGTGCCACCGTGGGCAGGGACACCTGCCACTGTCCCAGAGTGCTCCCAGCCCCGTCCAGCCCGGCCTGGGACACTTCCAGGGATAAATGAAGTGTCCCTGTGGTATCAGCTCCAACCCACTGCAGCTCCATCCCTTCCCTGCTGACACTGTCCCAGCAAAGCCTCGGGATCTCTGCCTTCCTTCCGCTCACTGATCCCGCAGGGAATGCTGAGGGCTGGGGCCCTGCAGGGAGGTTTCTCCCGCCCCAGGTGCTCCATGCAGAGTTCCCAGGGGCTGAGGGCACCCCGAGTGGCCCCGTGTCACTCACAGTTCTTGTCCTGGCCCTGCGCCGGGGTCCCGTCGGTGCCGCTGCTCTCGGTGCCCACGGGGGAGCTGCAGCGAGGGTTGGACTCGGAGCTGGGGAGGGAAGAGCCCTGAGCACGGAGCCAGGATCATCCCAGAGCTTCCCAGCAGCCCCAGCAGCAGTCACCAGCCCTGCTCTTCCTTCCCATCACTGCTCTGAATCTATCTAAACCTCATTTCCTGGTTTTCTGTGTCCCACCCCAGTCAGGAGCACTGGGAAGCAGCAGGAAGCACAAAGGAGCCCTGACCCAGGATCATCAGACAGTATCAAACAACAAAAGGGAAGACACGGGAAGGGAAGGGGAAGAAGAAAGGATTACAGCCAGGCACTCTTATCAAAACATATCCCAAATATTCCCCGGTTCCCAAGCCCCAGGGGAGCTGGAATTCCGTGGCTCTTACCAGCAGAAAGGCTGGAAGTCTGTGAACTTGGCCCAGCCCTTCTCCTCCGGGGCGCTGCTCTGCGGGGCGGCCGAGTCCCACACGCTGGAGCCCACGTCCATGGCCACGGGCGGCGTGGGGCCCGCGGGCTCGAACACGGCCGTCCAGCCAGCCCCTGGGGACACCACAGCCTGGGTGCCAGCCCAGAGCCAGCCGGCCAGGAGCACGCCAGGGACAGACCAGGGACACCCCAGGGATCCCATGGACACAGCAACCCGGCCCAGGGACACCCCCGGGACATGCCAGGGATCCCATTGACACAGCACCCCGGCCCAGGGACACCCCTGGGACATCCCATGGACACCGCAACCCGGCCCAGGGACACCCCAGAGACACCCCAGGGACATGCCAGGGATCCCATGGACACAGCACCCCGGCCCAGGGACACCCCAGGGACACCCCAGGGATCCATGGAGACAACAACCCGGCCCAGGGACATCCCAGGGACATTCCAGGGATACCATGGACACAGCAACCCGGCCCAGGGACACGCCAGGGACAGACCAGGGACACAGCAACCCGGCCCAGGGACACGCCAGGGACAGACCAGGGACACAGCAACCTGGCCCAGGGACACCCCAGAGACACCCCAGGGATCCCATGGATACAGCAACCCGGCCCATGGACACCCCAGGGACACAGCAACCCGGCCCAGGGACACCTCAGGGATATTCCAGGGATCCCACGGACACAGCAACCTGGCCCAGGGACCCCAGGGATCCCATGGACACAGCAACCCGGCCCAGGGACACCCCAGGGACACCCCAGGGATCCCACGGCGGCCCAGGGACACCCCTGGGACACCCCAGGGATCCCATGGACACAGCAACCCGGCCCAGGGACACCCCTGGGACACCCCAGGGATCCCATGGACACAGCAACCCGGCCCAGGGACACCCCAGGGATCCCATGGACACAGCAACCCAGACCAGGGACATCCCAGGAACACCCCTGGGACCCCATGGACACAGCAACCCGGCCCAGGGACACCCCTGGGATCCCAGGGACATGCCAGGGACATGCCAGGATGTCCCAGGGACCCCAGACACACAGCCACACACCCCAGGGCCCCCTTCCACACCCACCCGTGTCCCACAGAAATCCCCCTGGAGATGTTTATCCCCAGGAGAGGCATCCACGGGGACAAATGACACCGTGGGTGGCTTCCTGCCCCAAGCCAGTGATTCCCAGCTCCATGTCCCTCAGTTCCCTGCCAAAAGCTCCCATCTCCATCTCCAGTGGTTGGGTTTCAGGTAAAGAGCTGATCAATGGATTCCAGTATTTAAGATCCTAAAAATCACCCACTGGTTTTTTCACAGTCCTGGACAATTCGTCCTCCAGAATTTACTTCCATTTCTAGTCCCATTTCCTACTTCCAGTCCTACAAATCCCACTTTTGGAACAGCATTTTTCCTTAGCTTTTCCCAGGGAAGAGGGAGGATTGCAGAGCTCTGCAGGAACAGAACGAGGCAAAAGAGCCCCCTCAGGGCTTCATCCCCAAAACTGATCCCAAATTCCAGCTTAGTCTCCAGAGGGTGACTGGGCTGCCTCACAGAGCCCACTGGAACTGGGAGGTTCTTCCCAATGGACTGGAATTATCTGACACTTCCCAAGGGGTGCAGAGAGCAGGATCCTGGGATAACCCTGCCTGGTGCTCACAGTGACAACACAAAGGCAGCACCCAGAGGAAAAAAAATGGTATAAAACTCAAAAAGCGTCGAAAAATAGAAGGTTGGAAACATTTTTTGTCCCTTGGAACTGTTCTGCTGACAGCACCATGTGTGTCCAGCGTTCCCATGGTGTCATTTACACAGAGAGTTGGGAAAATCCCTGAAGGGAGCAGACAAGATGGAAAAAGACAACTTACAGGGGCCTGGAGGGACAAGATGCAGGGAATGGCTTCCATCCCCAGGTTTAGCTGGGATCTTGGGAAGGAATTCCTGGCTGGGAGGGTGAGCAGGGGCTGGGCTGGAATTGCCAGAGCAGCTGGGGCTGCCCCTGCATCCCTGGCAGTGGCCAAGGCCAGGCTGGACACTGGGGCTGGAGCAGCCTGGCACAGTGGCAGTGTCCCTGCCATGGCAGGGTGACACTGAGGGGCTCTGAGGTCCCTTCCCACCCAAACCCATTCCTGGGATTCCAGGAAAAGCCTGTCCCTCTGCACTCCTGCTCCAGTCAGTGTAGGGATGGGCTTGCCACAGGCAGAACACAGCTGGAAAAGCAGAACAGGCAGGGATGAGGGTGTGGAGACAGCTGGCAAAGGTGGGCACACAACTCCTGTCCTGGGACGGGAGGAGTTCAGGTCACATCCCTGCACTGCTGCTTTGATTGAATTTGCACTGAAGGAGCTGGGATTCAGGGAGCCACCATGGAAAGGCTGGGGTGTGAGGGGACCTTACAGCTCCTCTCATTCCAAGCCCTGCCATGGGCAGGGACCCTTTCTCTGGGATTCTCCCTGTGGGGCTGCCTGGCACAAGGGCTGTTTTGGGCAGGGCTGCAGCTCCAGAGGCTCCAGAGGCACAAAGCGAGCCCTGGCATCCCCGTTTCCCCTGGCCAGGAGGAACTGGGGCCTCTCCAGGGGAGCTGGCAGTGTGTATTGAGTGCTGCTGTGACCCCTGCAGACGCAGGGAGGCGCTCCCAACCTTGGCAGGAGTCCGAGTCCTTCTGCTCCGGGGTGCTGCCCTTGCGCGGGGAGGGTGGCGGCCGCTCCTCCTCCTCCTCCGAGTCCACGCTGCCGTCGTGGTCCCCGTTCTCCAGGTCACTCTTGGAGCTCTCTGACGTCTGTGATGCTCCAAACCTGAACGGGAACTGGGAATGAGCCACACCTGGATCCCTCAGCTCCTCCTCCCCGTCCCTGGGGAAACAGCCCAGAGCCTTTGCCAGGGTTGTTTCCCCCCAAAATATTTCCCCCAGCTGCTCAGGGAAATTGTGGGTGCTCAGGGTGATTCCCCCAGATTCTCGAGGGCTTTGGTGGCGGCATTCCCTGGAGCTGCAGGACAGAGCCAGGGCTGGGGACACCACACAAACCAGTGCTCAGAGAGGGGACCACCCTGTGCCCAGGCAGGACCTGGGGCTTTTGATGCTTGGCAAGGACACAGTGAAGTCTTGGATGTTTTCCCTGTTTCCTTTGATCACACTGCAGATTGGGAATTATGGAAATAACTTTATTTTAATGAGTGGCTCTGTCAAAGGGATGAAAAATTATTTCAAAGCCTGAGATGCCCCTGGGAGGCCTCTTGTTCTCACTTTTCTGATTTGAATGTTCTGAGAAAGAATGTTCTGCCCACTCCCCTCAGTCTCACCTCCTCCTCCTCCTCCTCCTCCTCTCCAGGATGAGAAGGAGCAAATTCCAACTGTTTCACACTAAGGGTGAGGGTTTTTAATGTGTTTGATGAGAGACTCATTAATTAGGTTTAAATCCCATTGTTAATTCCCTTGAACTGGATCTGTCTCCAGTTCAGGAGAACCCCCAGCACAAGAGGCAGGGAAAGTGCTCGGGGTTGTGTCAGATAAAACCTCACAGCTCCAAAATGACACAAACCCCAAGGAATTCCTCCTGGGCTGGATGGAAACGTGCAGATTCCCAGCAGCAGGGGGAAAATCGGGGTTCTGCTTCCACCTTACCGTGTCCTGGACTTGACCTGGGTTGCGTAGGAGATGTCCTTCTCCTCCCAGATATCCTCCTCCTCCTCGTTGTCGTCGAACTGCTGGATGCGCTCGTTGCAGCAGGCCTCGAACAGGGAGGCGTTGGGCTGCAGGACCACAGGGAAATCACACTCCAGAGGTGCTCTGGAGACACTGCTTTAAGCCCAAGTCTCAGGGCTGACCAAACCCAGCTTTGCTCAGGAGCTGGGATCACCTGGGACCACCTGGGATCACCACAGTCCAGCTGCTGCTTTGCTTTGGGGCAATAAGCCAGGAAAGGCCAGGAACAGCCTGGCAATGTTTGGATCCATGAGAAACCCATCTCTGCCTATGCTTCCCTAATCTGTGTCTGGAAAGATGATCTAAAGCTGTGAGAGCTGGGGGTGCTCACCTGGACAGGAGAGGAATACAGGGGCATCTCAGAGCCCCTGGCAGGGCCTGGAGGGGCTCCAGGAGAGCTGCAGAGGGACTGGGGACAAGGGATGGACAGGACACAGGGAATGGCTCCCAGTGCCAGAGGGCAGCCATGGATGGCATCTTGGCCATGAGGAATTCCTGGCTGGGCTGGAATTGCCAGAGCAGCTGGGGCTGCCCCTGCATCCCTGGCAGTGCCCAAGGCCAGGCTGGACACTGGGGCTGGAGCAGCCTGGCACAGTGGCAGTGTCCCTGCCATGGCAGGGGGGCACTGCAGGGGCTCTGGGGTCCCTTCCCACCCAAACCATCCCAGGATTCCCTGATTCTAAGAACAGACTGGCACTGCAGGGAGGGAGGAAGATTCCCTCGGTGCCGGGGGTGCTGCCTCAGAGGGAACATTTCCTGGGAGGAGCCCCTGAGGGGCCGAGCAGTGCCCTGGCTCTCAGCCCCTCTGCACTGCCCAAACCCCCCAAAGCTCTGCTCTCTCAGAATGCAAGCAGCACCTTTGCAGAGCCACAGTCACTCCAGCCCCAGCCCGGACCCCCACTCACGCTGTCGTCGTCGGCGTCGATGTTGAAGTTGATCTCGGCGATGCGGTCGAAGGGAGCGCTGGGAGGGAGGAGGGAGGGAAGAGCCTCAGGGGTGGCCCCAGCTTCCTGAGGGACAGCAGCAGAGCCAGAGCCACCCCTGGGCTGGGAACCCTGCACAGCCACTCCTGCCCACAGTGTGCCCTCACCGAGGGAAGGGTTATTCCAGCCTAGAACATTCCCAGCCTGTGGCAGGGGGGCTCTGGAGGGGCTTCCTGGAGGATAGCTGGGGGGTCGGGCTGTGCTCCAGGGAACAGGGACAGGAGCAGAGGGAACGGCCTCAGCCTGGGCCAGGGCAGCTCAGGGTGGAATCAGCAGGAATTTCCCCATGGAAAGGGGCTCAGGCCTTGGCAGGGGCTGCCCAGGGAGCTTTGCAGTGCCCATCCCTGGAGGTGTCCAAGGAAGTCCTGGAGGTGGCACTCAGGGCTCTGGGCTGGGGACAAGGTGGGCATTGGGCACAGCTGGGACTGGATGGGCTGGGAGGGCTTCTCCAACCTCAGGGATTCTGGGATTCTGTGGATCTCAGTGCAGGAGTGGCTCAAAGCCCGAGGTGTGGCTGCTCTGTGAATATCCCAGGATATGAATATCCCAGGATGACCCAATTCCCAGTCCAAGCCAGGGGAGCCCCTGGTGGGAACAGCAGAGGGTGCTGCAGGCCCAGAAATTCCCAATTCCCAGAGCCTGGATCCAGGAAGAGCTCACTCTCCCTACTCATGGAGCTGCAGCTTTTCCAGTGTCATTTTCTTTGAAAGGCTCTCCTGTTCAACACTCCTGCAATCCCAGGGACACTGACACCTGACTGACACTCCTTAAATATTCTAAATCACTTCCAGCCCCGTGTCCAACAGCTGGAAACAGCTGGCAGGGAGCACCACTCCCAGAATATTCCAGGTTTTGCAGGACATTCTCCTTTTCCAATCACAAACAAGAGCCATAGCATCCCAAGCACAGACTTTTTCCAGCTTTGTGTTCGTTTTACAGGGGCACAAGGCCCCCGGGGCAGCTCCTCAGGGATTTAACTCCTCCCTGCCCCTCACTCACATGGGGCTGTATTTGCCAGCAGTGAGAAGCCTATTTTTTTTATTTTATTTTATAAAAATCTTTATGTGTATAACTGAATAATTTCTGTTCAATTCAACTCTGATTCTATTCTGGAACTTTTTGGCCTTACCGAGTTTCTGACATCTCTAAGGCTCAGGAAAAACCCTGGATGGGAAGGGCAGGGGTGCTGCCTTAGATCCCAAGGAATTTCTGGGATGGAGACAAACCCAGGAGCACTGGGATCCCCTTGAGCACTGCTCTGTCCATAACTGGTCCCAGTTTCAGGACTGTTATGGCCACTGGGATAATCCCAGTGCCAGGTACATTTCTAAGGAGAGAGGATGAGCTGCAGCTTTAATGGGATTCAAGGAATTCTGTAAAAGCAGCCAATTCTGAGCTCTGGATTCAGCAAGCTGTGTAACACTGAATCCCCTTCCCTGTCTCCCTGAACTGCCACTGCTCCTGATTATCCCTGCTCCCTTCCTCAGGAGAGGGAAAATGGCTGCATTTTCCATGGATTCCATCAGAGCTGTCCCTTCACTGCCCCTTCCCATAAGGATTTAATTCCTTGGAAAAGATCTGTTTAACTGCCCAGAGTTTGCTCTCATGCTTTGCCTTTAAACTCATTCCAGACCAGGGCTGGACAACAGTTGCCTGCTTTATTTCAAATATCCCTCTTTGAAATGAAGGAATACTTTTCCTTGCTTCTCCACCTGGTTCTGGAGATCGGGCTGGGCTCCTGGAAAACAAGGAGCTGTTTACAACCTGAGGAGGGATAACAAGGCTCATTTGTAAACCTGAAGCAGAGGGAGGATGGGATGCAAAGAGGCTGAAATGCAATCACCCCCAGACTCACTCGGTGCCATCACCAAACACCCCCAGACTCACTTGATGTTGTCATCCTGGTCTGCGAACTCCTCGTCGTTGAAGCCAAACTGATCCACGAAATTGGCCGTCATCTGCTGGATCTGGTACTCGGAGAAGGCCTGGCAAGGGATCCCAAAAAAATCCATCAGTAGGGTGTGCAGAGACATGCCAGAAACAGTGGAGCTGCATGGAAGCAGCTCCTCCAGAAAAGCACTAAAATCCCAGGGAAGAGTGTGAAATTCTCACTCCGACCCTTTCCCAGAGCAGGGTCACACAGAGCTCTGGGATTCCCATCCTGATGCATCCTGCCCTGCTCCCAGGTGGATCCCAGGCCATGCAACTGCTCTGGGAAAGCCCAGAGGAGCTGAACACAGACTGGGAGCAGAGTTCAGGAAGCTGCTCCACAGCAGGATGCACCAAAGGCAACCAGAGCAGCGAGTTTCCCGGGAATAGTGAAGATGTTCCCAACTCACCTGCTGGAGAGTGAGCTCGTTGGGAAAAGCGCTTTCAATGTCCTCATCCTCGCTGGAGGAGTGCAGGTGGTGGGTGCTCACCTGGGAAAGCACAAACCAGTCAGGGAACCAGGGAAAGCTGGAAAAGCTCCGATGTTTCAGCTCCACCAAGCCCAAGCTCCTGCCCAGGCAAGAGCTGCCCCAAGGAATCCCAGGGACCAGCTCAGCACCACGGATCAGCTCTGCTGAAGGACTGTTACGAAACATGTTCATGGAAATGCTTTCTACTCTGCCTTGAAGCGTTCTTCAGCAAAAGAAGGAAAATGAGAAAAACCAGGAATATCCCTTTCTTCCGTTAGGGGAAGCCCAGCAGGCACTGGAGTGACCCACTCACCAAATCCACCGTGTTTCTCCGGTTCGTCTCCGTCAGCGTCTCCTCCACAAAACTCTCCCACCTGCCCCTGCAGTCCTCAGGCAGCTCTGGAACGAGAGGGACACAGGAACCATGGGAGCTGTGAGCCAGCTGAACTCCCTGGGACTCACAGCTTCTCTCACCCTGCTGGGAACAACCCCGAGCAGGGCTCCAGCTGTGCCTGGGCCTTCCCTTTTCTCCTGGGGACTGGGGGGGCCCTTCCCTCTCATCCCTCCCATCCCAGCACGTTTGGGAGCCCAAAGGTGAGCAGAACCTGAGGGCTGAGGCAGGGAAATGGAGAAATAATAAAAGCAGACACAGCAGAATATTGTGCCCCCAGATTGTCCCTGCCCAGCTGTGCTCCCTCCCAGCCTGGCAGGGGCTAAGCAGTAGGAACAGAAAATGTGGAAAACGGAAAATCTTCCTTCCTCCCACCTATACCCATGGGACAAAACCAGTTCTCCAAGTGGATCCAGGGAGGGCAGGATGGACACAGCCTGGCAATGGGAATATCCCTGATGAGCACATCTGGGGCCTCTGGGGACACTTAACCTCGTGTCTCTTTCTTCCAGAGTCATGGAATCAGGGAATGAGTTGGGTGGGATGGGATCTCAAAGCCCATCCAGTGCCACCCTACCATGGCAGGGACACCTTCCACTGTCCAATCTTAACCTCCCTGTGTGAAAACCAAGAGCAGCCTAACGAGGTCTCACCATACTTTAAATGATGGGATACTGTGGGATTTCCCTGGGAACCCTTTCCAACGGGAAAGGACCTTGAGCAAATACCTGCAGTGAGTCCTCCCAGGAGCTCCCAAGGGTTATAATTCCCTGGAGAGCAGTGAGGGGGAGCTGGAGAAGGAGGAGTACCTTTGATGAAGTCACTGATCTGGGCCTGCATGGGGCCCTTCTCCATGTTGTGCACCACGGCGTTGGCGATGCGGGTCAGGTGCCCCATGTTCCCTCTCCTCCTGCCGCCCTCTGCCCTGGAACAGAGAGCAGCCGCTACCCACGGAGCCGGGACACCCACGGAGCCGGGACACCCACGGATCCGGGATACCCAGGGAACCAGGATACCCAGGGATCCAGGATACCCAGGGAACCAGGATAACCACAGAGCCGAGATACCCAGGGAACCAGGACACCCACAGAGCCAGGATACCCACAGAGCCGGGACACCCACGGAGCTGGGACACCCAGGGAACCAGGATACCCAGGGAACCAGGATAACCACAGAGCTGGGATACCCAGGGATCCAGGATACCCATGGAGCCAGGATAACCACAGAGCTGGGATACCCATGGAACCAGGATACCCAGGGAACCAGTATACCCACGGAGCCAGGATAACCACAGAGCTGGGATACCCAGGGATCCAGGATACCCAGGGATCCAGGATACCCAGGGAACCAGGATACCCAGGGAACCAGGATACCCACAGAGCCGGGATACCCAGGGATCCAGGATAACCACAGAGCTGGGATACCCAGGGAACCAGGATACCCAGGGAACCAGGATACCCAGGGAACCAGGATACCCACAGAGCTGGGATGGGATACCCATGGAGCCAGAACACCCACAGACTTGGGACGGGATGCCCACGGAGACAGGATAACCATGGAGCCAGGACAGAGCCCTGGGAAAGGCCCCAGCATTCCTGCCCCACTGACCACAGAATTCCAGCCCCAATGGCCACAGCATTCCTGCCCCAATGGCCACAGAATTCCAACCCCAATGGCCGCAGCATTCCTGCCCCACTGACCACAGCATTCCAGCCCCAATGGCCACAGAATTCCAGCCCCAATGGCAACAGCATTCCAGCCGCAATGGCCACAGAATTCCAGCCCCAATGGCAACAGCATTCCAGCCGCAATGGCCACAGAATTCCAGCCCCAATGGCAACAGCATTCCAGCCGCAATGGCCACAGAATTCCAGCCCCAATGGCAACAGCATTCCAGCCGCAATGGCCACAGAATTCCAGCCCCAATGGCAACAGCATTCCAGCCGCAATGGCCACAGAATTCCAGCCCCAATGGCAACAGCATTCCAGCCGCAATGGCCACAGAATTCCAGCCCCAATGGCAACAGCATTCCAGCCGCAATGGCCACAGAATTCCAGCCCCAATGGCAACAGCATTCCAGCCGCAATGGCCACAGAATTCCAGCCCCAATGGCAACAGCATTCCAGCCGCAATGGCCACAGAATTCCAGCCCCAATGGCAACAGCATTCCAGCCGCAATGGCCACAGAATTCCAGCCCCAATGGCAACAGCATTCCAGCCGCAATGGCCACAGAATTCCAGCCCCAATGGCAACAGCATTCCAGCCGCAATGGCCACAGAATTCCAGCCCCAATGGCAACAGCATTCCAGCCGCAATGGCCACAGAATTCCAGCCCCAATGGCAACAGCATTCCAGCCGCAATGGCCACAGAATTCCAGCCCCAATGGCAACAGCATTCCAGCCGCAATGGCCACAGAATTCCAGCCCCAATGGCAACAGCATTCCAGCCGCAATGGCCACAGAATTCCAGCCCCAATGGCAACAGCATTCCAGCCGCAATGGCCACAGAATTCCAGCCCCAATGGCAACAGCATTCCAGCCGCAATGGCCACAGAATTCCAGCCCCAATGGCAACAGCATTCCAGCCGCAATGGCCACAGAATTCCAGCCCCAATGGCAACAGCATTCCAGCCGCAATGGCCACAGAATTCCAGCCCCAATGGCAACAGCATTCCAGCCGCAATGGCCACAGAATTCCAGCCCCAATGGCAACAGCATTCCAGCCGCAATGGCCACAGAATTCCAGCCCCAATGGCAACAGCATTCCAGCCGCAATGGCCACAGAATTCCAGCCCCACACAGGGATCAGCCCTGCTCTGGCTAGATGGGTTGAGCTCACCCCCAGCACAGGGACCTTCCCTCATTTTGCCCTGTTCCCTCCTGATCCCTCCTCCTGCTCAGGTAACATGGGAGGGGCTCCAAACAAGGAGCTAAGCATGGAAAAGATGCAGGAATAGATCTGACTGTAATTCCCAGGGATGAAAACTCTCCAAGTCAAGATCTACAGCACAGCCACTGGCAGAGCTCCAGGGTGGGACTGGGATTCAGAGTGACTCCCCCAGAACAGAAGACATTCCCATCCAACCATGGGATTCCCCCTGGGATAAAACCAGTTCCCAGCCCCGAGTCCCTGCTCTGGCTCCCCACTGCTTCCCCTCCTGCAGAGTGAAGCCGTGCTCCAAACCAGCTCAGGGACTGGTTTGGGTGGGAAGGGACCCCAGAGCCCCTCAGTGCCACCCTGCCATGGCAGGGACACTGCCACTGTCCCAGGCTGCTCCAGCCCCAGTGTCCAGCCTGGCCTTGGGCACTGCCAGGGATCCAGGGGCAGCCCCTGCTGGCCTCCATCTCCCACTGGGAGTGGCCAAGGACCTTCCTGGAAACTCCACCTTCCCAAAGCCCCAGCTGAGACTCCCCTGCTTAAATCTCTATTTTTTTTCCTTCCATTCAGATTCTTTCCAGTGTGGTGGTGACTGGAACTCTGGCAGGAAACAGGGATGAGCTCTGGCTCCTTTCTGGTTTAATCAGGAAAAACTCCCAAGCAGCACCCAGGGATATTTTTGGTCCTACAGAACTGGGCAAGGAAATGCCCAGCAAAATTCCTCATGTGGACAAGGGGCTGTAAAAAGAACCAAAAACCCAAAAACCCAAACCACACCAACAAAAAAAAAAAATGTAATCCAGATCTCTATCCACCAATTATGACCTAAACAATTCCAGTGAGACTCCAAAGCCCTTGGAAGCCACCAGGAGCTCAAAATAGAGAGGGAGGACCAAACACTGAGCTGGACACGGAAACTGAAGCCTCTGGAATATTTCCACTTTAATGTTTTAGTTCTTTTAGAATATTTAGTTCTTATCAGCCCAATCAGCACAAAATCCAAGGGGTTTATAAAGCTAAAATAGGAAATCCAGGCCACAAATGCTTGGCCACCCTGACTTCCAGCAGTTTTGTACTCTGGGAAGAATAAAACTGTACATTTAAAACAAACAAAAAAAAAATGTAAAAAGTGAGTATTCCATGGAATTCCCTGAGACAGCAGGAAAGCAGTGAGTGCTTGGGATGGAGTTGGAAACACCTATAAAACCCATCATGCCTGTCTGCTTGGCAATGTGGCTTGTCAGCATGCAAACCACCCCAGTTCCAAATCCCAACCCAAACCCAAGTGTGTTTGGACACCATTAAAATAGAAATTCTCCAGGAATATTCCAAAGTCAACGTGCAGCCCCTGGCCAGCAGCTCCTTACTGGATTTTGTCATTGGCTTCCCAGGCGTCCAATATCCTCTGCACCAGGCAGCACTTCTGGAACAGCTGTGGGGAGAAAGGGAGGATATTCAGGATTTCCCAGAGGAGAACTGTGGGTCCCCCTGCTCCTCAGGAGCTCAGAGCTCAGCCCTCCCCCTGCCCAAGAGCCCAGCCCCTTCCTGGTTATCCCCCAGAGGATCCCAGCAGAACACCTGGAGCATCCCCAGGCTGCTCCTGAGCCTCCCAGCAGCAGGAATTAAAGCACTGCTGGCATTTTCCAACCACCACACTGAGGCCTGGCCACTAACAGCTGGAATGGGCTTGCTTAGTTGTTTGTCCAAAATTTGTAGTAATTTTTACTTTAAAAAACGGAATTTTAGTAATAAACGGGGATAATTTTAATAATAAATAAGGATAATTTTAATAAATACCAAGGGATTCATAGGGTCATTAAATGAGGGGACTTTTAATGGGATGCTGCAAATAAAGGCACAAAAGCAACCACAGCTCCATGAGAACCACTACAAATGATAATGAATAATAACACAGCCCACTAAAAATAGATAATAATAAAGCCCACTAAAATTTGATAATAAATAATAAAAACAATTTTCTAAGGCAGTAAATTATAACAAAACCCACTAAAAATTACATATAAAAATAAATAATAAGTCTACATTGAGACAAATGCCTGCCTTGGAACAGCCCACCCCAGAGATCTCCTGGTGACCCCAGTCCATCCCAGGGACCCTGGTGACCCCAGTCCCACCCCAGTGACCCCAGACCCAGCCCAGTGACCCTGGTGACCCCAGTCCATCCCAGGGACCCTGGTGACCCCAGTCCATCCCAGGGACCCTGGTGACCCCAGTCCATCCCAGGGACCCTGGTGACCCCAGTCCATCCCAGGGACCCTGGTGACCCCAGTCCATCCCAGGGACCCTGGTGACCCCAGTCCATCCCAGGGACCCTGGTGACCCCAGTCCATCCCAGGGACCCTGGTGACCCCAGTCCATCCCAGGGACCCTGGTGACCCCAGTCCATCCCAGGGACCCTGGTGACCCCAGTCCATCCCAGGGACCCTGGTGACCCCAGTCCATCCCAGGGACCCTGGTGACCCCAGTCCATCCCAGGGACCCTGGTGACCCCAGTCCATCCCAGGGACCCTGGTGACCCCAGTCCATCCCAGGGACCCTGGTGACCCCAGTCCATCCCAGGGACCCTGGTGACCCCAGTCCATCCCAGGGACCCTGGTGACCCCAGTCCATCCCAGGGACCCTGGTGACCCCAGTCCATCCCAGGGACCCTGGTGACCCCAGTCCATCCCAGGGACCCTGGTGACCCCAGTCCATCCCAGGGACCCTGGTGACCCCAGTCCATCCCAGGGACCCTGGTGACCCCAGTCCATCCCAGGGACCCTGGTGACCCCAGTCCATCCCAGGGACCCTGGTGACCCCAGTCCATCCCAGGGACCCTGGTGACCCCAGTCCATCCCAGGGACCCTGGTGACCCCAGTCCATCCCAGGGACCCTGGTGACCCCAGTCCATCCCAGGGACCCTGGTGACCCCAGTCCATCCCAGGGACCCTGGTGACCCCAGTCCATCCCAGGGACCCTGGTGACCCCAGTCCATCCCAGGGACCCTGGTGACCCCAGTCCATCCCAGGGACCCTGGTGACCCCAGTCCATCCCAGGGACCCTGGTGACCCCAGTCCATCCCAGGGACCCTGGTGACCCCAGTCCATCCCAGGGACCCTGGTGACCCCAGTCCATCCCAGGGACCCTGGTGACCCCAGTCCATCCCAGGGACCCTGGTGACCCCAGCCCAGTGACCCTGTGACCCCAGAACCCTGGTGGCCCCGGCCCCACCCCAGTGACCCTGTGGCCCTGGCCCCAGCCCGGCTCTCACGTGGGTGACCATGACGTTCTCGGTGGCTCCGGCCGGGGGCTCCGCGGGCTCCGCGGGCTCCGCGGGCTCCGGGGCCGCGCTCCCGCTCGGAGCCTCCTCTTTGCTGCCCGGCTCCCCCGGGCTGGGCTTCCCCTCGTGCACCGAGTGGGACAGGATGGCCGCTATGGACAGCTCCACTTGGAAATGCAAAAAGTTATTCCACGTGTATTTAAAAAATAAATCCTGGAGGAGAAATGAGAGATGGAAGTGTTTACTCGGGATAAATTTTCCTGGTGTTAAAGATATCAAGGATCTTTAAGGATCTTCCCAATTCAACCCATCCCAGGATTCTGGGACTCTGGGATATTAAATTGTTGCCCAAGCTGTTGTTTGATCAAGCAATTCCACTCAAACAGTTTTCCTGCTACATGCCAGCACTCAGTGCAGGCTGGGCTCTGCATTCCCAGGGTGCTCAGTCTGCTGGGAAATCAGTGAATATTCCCAATAAATGGAGCACTAAGGAATCCTCTCACAGATAGCACTCACAGCACAGGCACACTGAATTAAACAACCTAACTCTGCTGGGGCTTAATGAAGCCTAGGAAAAACAGGAACTAAATCACTGCTAAGGGTGGAATTAATTCTCTAAAGGCTCCACTGGTTCTGAGAGGCTTCTTCCAGCCTCAGGGATCCTGGGAGAAAATTCATCTCTCATCGTTCCAGGAGCTCACACACACAGCACAGACCATTTCACACCTTCTCCACTGAGCTGACACGGAATTGGAGGCTCAGTCCAAAACCCCAAGCAGTTGGATTCGGATCACAAAAGCTCCTCCAGGGATTTGCCCCTCGCTGGAGCAGGCAAGGCAGGTATGAGCCTCTGGCCCCCTGGCACAAGCCCTGCGCAGAAGGGATCCCAGGCCCCGCTCCCGGTGCCCCGGACACTCACGAGTAACAAGTCCATGGTGCCGAGCCTGCAGAGCTCCTGGTTGATGCTGGGGGTGTTGGCGTGCAGCAGCGCCGCGATCAGCCGCGAGCCGTGCAGCCGCGCGTTCCCCAGCGGCTCCTCCAGCACCCCCAGCGTGGTCAGGATCGCCGGTTTCTGGGGAGCAGGGAGGGCAGTCAGGGGAGCGCAACATTCCCACGGCGCACCTGCACCACGGTTCTACAGGGCCTTGGCCCTAAATCCAACCACGGGAAGAACTTTCCATGGAGGGGGCACAGCCCCGGAGCCCTGCACAGGGAGGGCCTGATTCCCCCGCTCTGCAGACATCCCAATCCCAGCTGGACGTGTCCTTGTGTCACCTGCTCCAGTGGAGTAGCACTGGATGATCCCTAACAACCCCAGCTGGAATTCTCAGATTTAACAGAACCCACCCATTTCAGGAATGTTCTCAGCAGGGAAACCCAGACCGCCTTCCCAAGAGGACGGTTCTGGGGTCACTGGGAGATTTAACTTCCGAATCAGAAGACTAAAATCCAACTATCCACTCCAAGTTTCTTCCTCTCCATCCCTTCCCATCTCCACTCAATCCCCCAGCCCCAAAGATTTCCCTGAACACGACCCTCAGACTCGTGCTGCAGATTGCTGCGTGCCAGAGTTGCAGAATTCGGTGTGGATTTCCCCTCCCTGGCCAGGTGTCCGTGCTGGAGCAGTCTGGAGGCCGGCGCTACCTTGGGCGGGCGCAGCAGCAGCTGGTGGAAGTCCTTGAGCCGGGGCTCGATGCCGTGCAGGATGCTGCTGTTGACAGTGTAAGACCTCTCGAATCCCTGAGTGTACGAGTCCATCAGGCCTTCCACCCTGAGGGAACACCGGGATTCACTCGGCGTCACTCATCATCCCTCTTCCCATTCTGAACAACCAAGTGACACCAGGGCCCTCGAGGTCCCTCCCAACCCAGTCCATCCTGGGACTCTGGGACTTTATGGTATTAAACCAGCCCAACTTGGTGTTTAATCAGCAATTCCACTAAAACCATTCTCCTCCTACACTTCCCGCACTCCAGCTTCCTTCTCCTGGGGCCCAGAACTGCCCCCAGTATCCAGAGGTGGAGATTTTGTTCAAGAGCCTCCAGTCACACTGGCCATGTCACTGGTTTCTCTTCAAAAATAAGGAAGAAAAATAGTAATGTTCAGCTCCTGTACACATTCCCATACCTGCACGCTATTGATTCCATTATATTATTTATATTATTTATTATACTGTATTAGTTAATATTGGTATCATTTCCCAGGTGCTGCTCACACAACCAAACCTGTGCTGAGCTCAGGAGGAGCTGACCAGAAATAACCTCCCAGCAGAGCTGGCAAACCACATTCCCAAAGTGCTTCCTGGGGTTCCAAACTCTCAAACACTTCCAAAGAAAACAGCTCAGCAAGTTACCAAACAAATGTTTGTTCCTCCCACTGTGCCAGGCTGCTCCAGCCCCAGTGTCCAGCCTGGCCTTGGGCACTGCCAGGGATGCAGGGGCAGCCCCAGCTGCTCTGGGCACCCTGTGCCAGGGCCTGCCCGCCCTCCCAGGCAGGAATTCCCTCCCAGTATCCCATCTAAGACTCTCCTCTTCCAGCCTGAAGCCATGCCCTGTGTCTGGGCAGTCCCTTTCCCTTTGTGCCCCCAGCCCAGCCTGCAGCCCCCGGGCAGTCCCGAGGCATGGTCCCGGTGATCCCAGTGATCCCAGTGCTCCCGGCAATCCCAGTGATCCCAGTATCCTGCTAATCCTAGTGATCCCAGCAATCCCAGTATCCTGGTAATCCTAGTGATCCCAGTGATCCCAGGGCTCCCGGCAATCCCAGTGATCCCAGTGCTCCCAGCAATCCCGTGATCCCAGCAATCCCAGTATCCTGGTAATCCTAGTGATCCCAGTGATCCCAGTGATCCTGGCAATCCCAGTGATCCAGGCCATCCCAGTGATCCCAGTGATCCCGGCAATCCCAGTGATCCCAGTGATCCCAGTGATCCTGGCAATCCCAGTGATCCAGGCCATCCCAGTGATCCCAGTGATCCCAGTGATCCAGGCCATCCCAGTGATCCCAGTGATCCTGGCAATCCCATTAATCCCAGCGACCCAGCAATCCCAGTGATCCCAGCGATCCCAGCGATCCCAGCGATCCCGGCAGCCCCGGCAGTCCCGGCTCACCCGGAGCGCCGCGTTTCCAGCAGCGTCAGGAGCACCTGGGTTCCGTTCACGATGCAGGTCTCGCTCTGCTCCCCGTCGAACATGTTCCTGAGGAGCTGCTCCACGCACTCCTGCCTGGGGACACAGGCTCACTCACACGGGGCAGCTCAGGGCACAGGGAACTTCCCGCTCTTCCCGCTGCTCTGTGCCAGGCCAGGGAATGACGGCTGGGAGCAGCAGGAGGCTGAGGCCAGCCCTGGTCCCCAGCTCACACAATCCCTGGCTTGGGAGAGACCTTCAGCCCACAGAGCCCAGCCCAGCCCAAGCCCTCAGGCAGAGCCTGGCACCCAGTGCCACATCCAGGCTTGTTCAACACCCCCAGGGATGGTGACTGCAGCACCTCCCCGGGCAGCCATGGCAGAGCTTTATCCCCTTGCTGGAAAAGCTTTTTCCTGACACCCAACCTGAATTTCCCTCGGCACAGCTCGGGACTGTGTCCTCTGGTTCTGTCAGTTGTTGCTCCAGTTCCTGCAGTTCATGTTCCCCACCACATCCCAGCTCTGTCCCTTAAGGACAGCTCTCCAAAATCCAGACCTCAGGAAGTTCCTTCCCCTTCCCTGCCTTCCCCAGTTCTACATCCAACCAAACCCAGCAGCCCAGGAGCTCACAGGCCAATCCTGACTATTTTATAACGTTCCAAAAAGTCTCCTTTCCATGGGTATACATAAAATATGAGACAAAAATGTAAAAACAGCTGAATAATTCATGAGGGAGGATTACTTGAATAAGGAGCATCTAAATACCCTCTGTCAGCAGAGCAGGGGAGGCAGAGGCAGGAAAAGGAGGCAATTTTCTGTAATGAACCAAATTCCCTTTATTGCACTCAGGCAGCAGCTCCTGAACCTGGATTTAGGGCTCATTCCCTGATCCCACCTCCTTCATGCTGATCTTTCACTCCTGACTCAGGGATGATAAAAGTTATCCAAGACCCAAAAGGTCACCGTAATGCTGGGAAAATTGGCCAGGAAGGGTAATGAGCTTTGTGACCTTCAGCAGAAAGGGAAGGGGAGCAAGAGATCCCCTTTGCCCAAAATGCTCCTTTATTTTGAGCAGGAATTCTGGAGATGGTTCCTGGAAGTGCAGGGTCCCACAGCCCTCTCCAAAACTACAAAGAAAGCTTAAAATTACCAAAAAAGTCTGTAAGTCTTCCATGGCCATCACCCCTCCCACTGCAGGGAATCACAGCCCTCACTGAAGGTGTTGGGATTCCCAGGGGGAATGACCGAGCTGCAATCCCATCTGCAGAGTTCTGAGGGCTCAGAACTGACACAGAGGAGAGGCCACAGGCTCCAGTCAGGGATGTGACCTCCAGTGCCTCCAGCTCCAGAGCCCAACAGCAGCAGCACCTGGAGCTGCTGGAGAGCCCAGAGGAGCCCCCGGAGCTGCTCCAGGGCTGGAGCCCCTCAGCTCCCAGGGATCCAGGCTGGAAGAGCTGGGGGTGCTCACCTGGAGGGGAGAAGGATCCAGGGAGAGCTCAGAGCCCTGCCAGGGCCTGAAGGGGCTCCAGGAGAGCTGCAGAGGGACTGGGGACAAGGGATGGACAGGACACAGGGAATGGCTCCCAGTGCCAGAGGGCAGCCATGGATGGTATCTTGGCCATGAGGAATTCCTGGCTGGGCTGGAATTGCCAGAGCAGCTGGGGCTGCCCCTGCATCCCTGGAATGCCCAAGGCCAGGCTGGACACTGGGGCTGGAGCAGCCTGGGACATGGCAGGGGTGGCACTGGAGGGGCTCTGAGGTCCCTTCCCACCCAACCCCTTCCAGGGTTCCATGAAAAGTCAAGACTTCCCCAGCACAGGAACCTGCCAGGCCATGGCACAAAGGCTGGATCCACCTCATTCCTGCAAGAGCAGTGAGGGAAATGAAAAATTTATAGAAGAGTAGTCCTGGTAAGGACAGAGCTCCATGGCAAGCCCAGGATGGTCCCAGTGGCTTCCCAGTGCTGGGATGAGCCACATGCCATTCCCACCTGCACACACCAGGTCCTGTCCCAGGAATTATCCCACACTCATGGAGGAACTGACAGCCCTGAATCAGGAGAAAAGATCCCCAATGCCACCTAAATTCAGAGCTTTGGGGAATTGGGAGCCCCAGTCCCTTCCATGGCTCCTTCCAGCCCTTTCCTGACAAAATGTTGCCTCCAGACCTAAAAGAGCCTTTTTTAGTTCAGTCCCCTGGAGAATCTCCTGGGGTTTTTAGGTTTGAACCAAGGATAAGAAGCAGAAAACACAGGACATAAATAATTGAATGCTCATTGCAAAGAGCAAAGGAACAACAGCAGGAATGGAGCAAAAGTGGCAAAATCAACACTTCTGGTACATACTGCATGTTATCTGGGAAATCAGGGAATCCTGGAATGGTTTGGGTGGGAAGGGACCTCAGAGACCCTGCAATGCCACACTGCCATGGAAGAGACACCTCCCACTGTGCCAGGCTGCTCCAGCCCCAGTGTCCAGCCTGGCCCTGGGCACTGCCAGGGATGCAGGGGCAGCCCCAGCTGCTCTGGCAATTCCAGCCCCTGCTCACCCTCCCAGCCAGGAATTCCTTCCCAATATCCCATCCATCCCTGCCCTCTGTTAGCTTCATGTCACTCCCCCTGTCCTGGCACTCCAGTTCTGGATGAACAATCCCCCTCTGGCTTCCTCTGAGATCCCTTCAGACCCTGAAGGTGCTGTGAGGTTCCTACACAACCCTCCCTTCCCCAGGCTGGAATTCCTTGGGTTTTTGCCTCATCCTGGATCAGGCTGGGACCTTTGGGCTCCCTGAACCCCTCTCCTGCCTCTGGACAGAGCCCCAACCCCCAGATCACTGAAGAGGCCATTCAGAGCTGCTCCAGCTCCAAAGGAACACCCCTGCTCTGTCTGCTCCCTGCAAAGCGATCCAGGAGCCACTCCCAGTGCTCCCAGTGCCCCCAGCATGCCCAGTGCCCCCAGTACTCACGATTCCAGTGCTGTGAGAAGTGGATCTGGCTCCGGGACATCCTGAAGCTGAGTGCTCTGGTCTCTGCTCAGCCTGATGATGTCACACAGGGTCTGGGAAGCATTGGATTGCCTCTGGAAACAGGGACAGGAGCAGCGTCAGCGCCGGGGCTAAGCCCAGCTAGGCTGGGAATGCTCTGGCTGGGATCAATCCCATTCCTGCTTCCCCTGGAGTTGCTCAGGGCTGTACACTTCTGGAGCAGCAGCATCAACAGGCTTTGCACTCAAAGGACATTGGCCCAAGCGTGACCATCAAGAGCAGTTCAGGAGCTCAGGGGTGAGGATTCCTTTTTCTCTCCTCAATCCTGCTGATCTGCACATTCACAACAGAAACATCCCATCCTTCCTCCCACTGCTCAGCTCTCCTGCTTGAGAAAACCCTTCACCATTTAACTTCTGGGATTTAAAAGGCTTTCCAGAGATGTTTGAGGAATTCATCCTCCAGTTCTGGCCATCAGGCAAAGCCTCTCTCGAGCTGCTGTACGTCAGCATCTGCTCCAACACAAATCCATGGGGATGTTCCCAGTTTTCCCCTCGCAGAGGGAAGTTTGCCTGGGATGAGCTGAGGGAATTGGGCTCAGAGAACTGCATTTTCTGGATTTTACAGCTGAATTCCTACTTAGGGCTAGAAAGATTTGAAAATGCATCAAGTGGCTGATTTTAAGGGGTCTTCCAGGAACAGCAGGTTCCCTAATCCCAAGGGAAATCCCCACTGTCTGTAGGATTGAGATGAACTGAGGCAGCAGAACCAAGAAACTGGGGGTAAAATAAGTCAAAAGCAGATGAAATCACTCCAAACCCCCTCATCTGGTGCTGAGCAGAGGATGGGACACCCCAAGGCCATCCCTGGTGGCTCCTCCACAGGTCACCAAGACAAAGCAAACAGAAATGTCCTGGACCCTGCAGGACCCAGCCCCACAAACCCCCAGCCCTGGTGCCACTCACATCCTCATCCTGGCTCGAATGGATCAGCTCCACGAGTCTCTGGATAATCCTGGCTTCATTCAGCCACTGCAGGGAAAAGAGCAGCAGAGAAAATCCTGCATGGATGTCCGAGAACTCAGAACAAGAGGGGCTCTGGGAAGCTCTGCAGGAAGGGGAAGCCCTTCCTTCCCTCTCCAATCCCATCCCCGAGGCAGGGACAGGGATGGATTCAGATTTGCATCAGCACGGATGGGGATGGATTTGGATTTGCATCCTGCCATGGAACTAGCATGCAGGCCCCTCTGGAAAACATGGAATGCTCCAGGGACAAACAGCCTCATGTGAGCAGCAGTGGAAGAAGTTCCACCATGTTCTCCCAGCAGCTCCTGCTCTTCCTGCTGCTCACACCCAGCAACTCCTGCCAGATGTTGGAACAGCTGTCACTGCACCTTCACCTTGCTCCACAACTTCCTGTTCTCCATGCAAACCATTCCCTATCCCCCTTTCTGGCCCAGGCAAACAGGAATGTCCCCTCCAAAGGCTCCCTGCCACTCCTCCCTCCCAGCCCCACGTGCAGGCTCAGCCCCTCATCTCCACCCGGTTCTCCATGCAAACCATTCCCTATCCCCCTTTCTGGCCCAGGCAAACAGGAATGTCCCCTCCAAAGGCTCCCTCCCAGCCCCACGTACAGGCTCAGCCCCTCATCTCCACCCATTTCCATTCACATCCCACTCCTGTTCCAGGAAAACAGCTGGATGTGTGACATCCCCCAAACTCATCCCAACAATGCCCAAACTCAGCTGCCTGGGAAATGCGCAAATTTCCATTACAAGGAAAAACATTTCCAGGGATGGGTCTGGAGCCTCTCTGCTCCCCAGCCTGGCAAAGCTGGGGGTGCTCACATGGAGAAGAGAAGGATCCAGTGAGAGCTCAGAGCCCTGGCAGGGCCTGAAGGGGCTCCAGGAGAGCTGCAGAGGGACTGGGGACAAGGGATGGACAGGACACAGGGAATGGCTCCCACTGCCAGAGGGCAGCCATGGATGGGATCTTGGCCATGAGGAATTCCTGGCTGGGCTGGAATTGCCAGAGCAGCTGGGGCTGCCCCTGCATCCCTGGCAGTGCCCAAGGCCAGGCTGGACACTGGGGCTGGAGCAGCCTGGCACAGTGGCAGTGTCCCTGCCATGGCAGGGTGGCACTGAGGGGGCTCTGAGGCCCTCTCTAACCCAAACCATTGCAGGATTCCTTGATGCTATGATTCCTTGAACATGGTAAGGAATTACACTAATTACTGTCCCAATCAATGTCTAGATTTCTGAACACTGGGAAAAACAATTTCCCTTTCCCCAAGCTCTCCAGCTGGACTAAAGAGAGGTGCTCCATGGAAAAATGAGTGGGAACCCCTCTGCTGCCAGGAGTGACCCAGGCTGCTGCCCTGGAGCCACAACGGGGCTGAGGGACCCCACGGAGCGACCCCATGGGAACAGGGGCTGCCAGAGGGGTGGATCTGCTCCTGGGATGAAGCACCCACAGACCCCATCTGTCCCGAGGGAGGCAGGGACAGGGGCTGGGAGGGGAAGGCCCTCACGTTGAGCACGTCCTGGCGCAGCGCCGTGGGCTCCACGCAGCTGATGAGGCGCAGCAGCAGGTCCATCATGGCAGAGGTGTCGATGTGCTTTAGCACCAGGCTTAGGAACTTGTCCTTTTTCCTCAAAAATGAGATCACCTGTGGAAACAGGAGCCCGCATCAGCTGCCAGCGGGACACACGACTCCCTCACAGCTCCCTCGCAGCTCCCCCACAAATCCACCACAACTCCCCCAAAAATCCACCACAACTCTGTCACAGCTCCCTCACAAATTGCCCACAACTCTCTCACAACTCCCCCACAGCCCCCTCACAAACCCCCCCACAACTCCCCCAAAACTCCCGGAGCTTCTCCTTCGTGTCTCAACCACTGACCTTGGGCTGGGAACTCTCCAGGGAACAAGGGAATAATTCTTATTCCAAGGCAACACCAAATGTGATCTTTTCAGCCAACTTTTCTCCTCTCTGTGCCACAGAGAACCCCATGCCATGGAAATAAGTGAAGCTGGAGAATTTCCCTTTCCTCTCAAGCTCCCTACCAGGCAGCATTTACAACCCCAGTATTTACTGGGATGTGAGCAATCCTGAATCCCTGTTCAGCCCATGCCTCAGCACCCCTTCCATTAGGATGAGCCTGAGGCCTTTTTTATGGATTGGGATGACTCTGATGACCCTCAAAATGCCTTGGTATGAAAAGTGAAGCTTTAGCTGTGCCATGGGGATACCCTGGCTGTGGCAGACCCCAACCCAGAACTCTGGGAAGAGTCAGTCCACACCAGCACGTCCCTGCACTGAGGAATTCCGAGAACTTTCCAGAGACTCCATTTCACCTCCAGCCTCAAACCCAGCTCCAGGAACACCACGAGCTCACAGCAAGGACACAACACGGGCAGCGCAGGGGAATTCCCTGGAGTGGGACAGAGCCCATCCCCACCTGTTCTGTTTTCCGTGCAATGAGGTTCCCGATGGTCTTGCTGAAGAAGCTGGCGAGGAGGGGGTTCAGGGGGGGCTCGTGGTCCAGGAAGTCGTAGAGGATGTTGAGCAGGGTCTCGTCCCCGCCCAGTTTGTCGTTGATCTGCGGCACGTCCGAGGTCAGCAGCTCGCAGGCCGTGTTGGGATACCTGCAGGGACACACAGGTGAGATGGGAGCTGCAGATCTGCCCTCCGCAAAGGCCTCGGGAAGGGAAGGAATTCCTGCCTGGGAGGGTGGGCAGGGCCTGGCACAGGGTGCCCAGAGCAGCTGGGGCTGCCCCTGCATCCCTGGCAGTGCCCAAGGCCAGGCTGGACACTGGGGCTGGAGCACTTGGGACAGTGGGAGTGTCCCTGCCATGGCAGGGGGGCACTGCAGGGGCTCTGGGGTCCCTTCCCACCCAACCCATCCCATAACTGATTCCCTCTGATGAAGACACTTTTCCCACAATGGATTTTTAGTGATTTGTGACCACACCAGGTTTCTACACCAGGATCTTTCCCAATCTCTGCATTCCCTACAAGCCACAAGAACACTTCCAGGCCAGCTGGGAGCTTTGACCCTTTCCCTGCACCATTCCCTTCCCCAGCAGCCTCCTGCTGTTCCTGCAGATCCAGCCCTGGAGTTTCCAAAAGCCCCTCAAGCCCTGCTGCTGCTGCTCCAGGCTTGGTGCTGCCCAGGGGGCTGAGGCTGAGGATGTCACTGTCACCACTGCAGAGGGACCTTCCAGCCCTTCCATCCCTTACAGCCCTGAGGGGACACCAGGACTCTTTTTTCTCCTTTTCCTGACTCATTCCATGCACAAAACATCTACAATTCCTAAAGATCTGTGTGTGGAACCTCCCTGGGATACACATCCTGTGGACAGGGGAGAAATGGGAGCTCTCCCTGTCCCAGCAGGTTCTGCTCCTGCAGCTCTCACAGCCCCAGGTCTGATCCAACCCCTCACCATTCTGGTTCTGGCACCACATCCCAGCCCTGGAGGTTTGCAGGCTGCAGGGACCTCACCTCACCCCACCTCCCCCTCCGACCCCTGGAAGCTGAGCCTCCCTCACCCCTGGGCTCAGCAGCTCATTGGCTGATCCAAGGTTCACACTCCTTTCCTGCTCCAGCCTCCTTTCAGGTGTCTAATTCCACAAGTTCTGCTTGGATGGGGATTTGCCAGGGTCTTTTCCTCTTTGCAATTCCCCTCTGAACTTTATGAACCTCCTTCTCCCACTGTTCCAGGGATAAAGCCCTTGGATGATCCCCTCTCCACATATCCCGAGCCCCAGATCCTTCCAAAGCTATTGAGTTTCTCCCTGTTCCACTTCACCAACTTCACCTTTCCAGAAGAGGCAAAAGGGATTCCATCTGGATTTACACAGAGTCCATTATTCCTGCTCAGCTTTTATTTATCCCAAAAGCTTCCCTGATTTCTAATGAGCTCACACCCTCCTTCCTCTCTCCAGACTTTGGAGACGCTTCTGGGCCTGCTCTGCCTCGGAGTCCCAAGTGCTGCCAAGAAAATGCTCCATGAACATCAGCCCTCGGTGTCCCAGCAGGAATTTCCAACTTGAAACCTCTGTTCTTGTCCCCCCCTTCCCTCATTCTTCACCTGTTTGGTAACAATCAGGGAATCCTGGAATGGTTTGGGTGGGAAGGGACCTCAGAGCCCCTGCAGTGCCACCCTGCCATGGCAGGGACACTGCCACTGTGCCAGGCTGCTCCAGCCCCAGTGTCCAGCCTGGCCTTGGGCACTCCAGGGATGCAGGGGCAGCCCCAGCTGCTCTGGCAATTCCAGCCCAGCCAGGAATTCCTCATGGCCAAGATCCCATCCATGGCTGCCCTCTGGCACTGGGAGCCATTCCCTGTGTCCTGTCCCTTGTCCCCAGTCCCTCTGCAGCTCTCCTGGAGCCCCTGCAGGCCCTGCCAGGGGCTCTGAGCTCCCCTTGGATCCTTCCCTTCTCCAGGGGAGCATTCCCAGCTCACCCAGCCTCTCCAGAGTAGAGGGGCTCCAGGCCTGGGAGCAGCTCTGGGCTTGCTCCAGGTCCTTCTGCTGCTGTGCCCAGGGCTGGGGCAGCTCTGCAGGTGTGTCCCAGATTTACCCTTCAGAGCAGGATCCTTGCACAGCAGCCACAGGATACTCCAAGTTATTACCCCACGTACTCCTGGGCATTCACTCACCTGGGAACAGCCACCTCACACCATTATCAGCTCTTACCAAAACCACACCTGAGCATGGCATTTCTGTGGCTTTCCACCAACCCCAGCCCCTGGTCCATTCCCACCAGGAAAAACCTGCCCAGTTTCATTTACTTATAGTCAGAGAGGTCTTTTATTTTTATATAAACTTCACAAAAGCAAACAAACTCCCCAAACCCAAGTGTCAATATTTTTGAGTATGCAGTGGGTTAAAAATGCATAAACACAACTTTGGTGAGAAGCAAACCCCTGTGAGGAGCTCAGTGTGGTCTGAGCAGAGGCAGGGCCTGCCCAGAGCTGTGCTCCCTGAAATCAGCAGGATCTGGAAGTGCAGCACACTGCAAATATCCCAGATTTTATTCATTTTCCAGCTCACTTTGTTCCGTGGGACTGGAAATCCATTGAGTTCAGAGGTTTCCACCTCTTGTGCTTCCCTTTCCTATAAAAACCTATTTGGGGTCTTTGGGTTTTGAGGCAACAGCAGGATAAAATTTTTTGCAGACTTAATTTGAGATAGGATTTTTTTTGGGACTTTATTTGAAATCCGATTATTTGAGATATTACTTGAGCTACGGTTTTTTGGAGACATTACTTGAAATAGGATTTTTCTTTGAGACAGACTCAACGTTAAACCATCAAACCCCAAAAGCCGGAACACCCCGAGCGCTCAAAGCCTCCCTCCCCGCAGGAGGTGCCACCCCTGGCACTGGGACTGGACCCAGTGCCATCTCTGTTTTCAGCCCCGGGATCCCTGGCTGGCACGTCCCAGGGGAGCAGGGATCCAATACCTACTTGAATCGGACCTTCTCGTCCATGTCCACGGGGGGCTCGTGGGTGATGAGGGTGACCAGCTGCTCCATGCAGTGCTGCTGGCACAGGAAGTCCAGCAGCCGCCGGTTCTGGGCCTTGCATTCCTGCAGGACGTCATCCTCGTCCATCAGCTCCTCCAGGGTCACATCCTCCTTGTCCAGCAGCTTGTCCACGTGTGACGTTGTGTTCAAATCAAACTTCCAGAACATGGTGATGGGACACGACTGGCTGGGGGCAGGAAAGCACCGGTTACTGCTCCACACCTACTGTGCAGGATCTGAGTCCCACCACCAGCCCCATCCACTGCCACCCTGTGCCCTCACGTGCCACATCCACACATTTTTTGAACACTTCCAGGGATGGGGACTCCATGCCTGTGCTTTCCAACCCTCCCGGGGAAGGAATTTCCCCAAATTCCCCCCTGAGCTCCCCTGTCCCAGGCTGAGGCCGTTCCCTCTGCTCCTGTCCCTGTTCCCTGGAGCACAGCCCGACCCCCCCGGCTGTCCCCTCCTGGCAGGGACTTGTGCAGAGCCACAAGGTCCCCCCTGAGCCTCCTTTGCTCCAGGCTCAGCCCCTTCCCAGCTCCCCCAGCCCTCCTGGGGCTCCATTCCCTCCCCAGCTCCATTCCCTGGACACTCCAGCTCCTCAGGGTCGTTCTTGGGGCACTGCACTTTGAATCCCCCATTCCCATCCATTCCTACCCCAACCCTAGTTTGCCCTTTTGTTATTCCGATTTTTCTCTGTGTGAGTTCTATTGATAATGTTTTTCCACTTTGCTTTCCTAATACCTGAAATTTTGGAAAAGCTGTGAGGTACACCAAACCAAAGCACTGTTCAGACCACTCCTAGGAGACTCTTCCAGGGCTCTTCCTCTTGCTTAACACTTCCAATTCTGCCCTTCACCATCTCACCTCAGCTCCCCAGCAACCCTTCACAGTCCTGTTCTGGCCACAGCACCAGGTACAGAATTCAGGGAATTCTGGAATGGTTTGGGTGGGAAGTGACCTCAAATCCCCTGCAGTGCCACCCTGCCATGGCAGGGACACTGCCACTGTGCCAGGCTGCTCCAGCCCCAGTGTCCAGCCTGGCCTTGGCCACTGCCAGGGATGCAGGGGCAGCCCCAGCTGCTCTGGCAATTCCAGCCCAGCCAGGAATTCCTCATGGCCAAGATCCCATCCATGGCTGCCCTCTGGCACTGGGAGCCATTCCCTGTGTCCTGTCCATCCCTTGTCCCCAGTCCCTGTGCAGCCATTAACCAGCAGGCAGTGGCTGTCATTCCCCAGGGACACAGGGGACATGGCTCCCTCTGGACACATCCTGGGCAGTGCCAGCCCTGGCTCCCACACTGTGCACACTCACCCTGGGCTGAGCTGTGTCCCTGTGCCACATTCCCAGATGATCCAGCAGCACCATGTGATTCCACACCCAGGATCACAAGGCTGTTTTTAACCTAACCCACATCCCCATTTCTGCACACAGAACTCCCTCCATCCATTCCTTTGGCTTTCCCAGCATCCAGAAATGTCCCTGAGCCTGATCCTCTGCTGGTCACGTTCTGCATAACCTCAGCTACAGGACAGCCTGGAAACTGTCCTCCTAAAAACCCATTTTCCCCCCAGGAATGACACTGAGGGGGCTCTGCCTCCCAGTCACCAGAGCAAGGCCTTGAACAAGGTTGAAGACCCCAATTTTCCCATCAGATTTTAAATCTCCCAGTCCTTCATGTTGTTACTTCCACAGTGAAGCTTCAAGTGAAGCATTCACAGAACCAGGACATGGAACAGGGGGAAAAGTGAGTTTCTTTTACACATCAGGATTTTCCCCAGAATCCTGGGGACAGCTCTGGAAAGCCCTGGAGGGGCTGGAGTGTCCAGGGAATGGAGCCCCAGGAGGGCTGGGGGAGCTGGGAAGGGGCTGTGCCTGGAGCAAAGGAGGCTCAGGGGGGCCCTTGTGGCTCTGCACAAGTCCCTGCCAGGAGGGGACAGCCGGGGGGGTCGGGCTGTGCTCCAGGGAACAGGGACAGGAGCAGAGGGAACGGCCTCAGCCTGGGCCAGGGCAGCTCAGGGTGGAATCAGCAGGACTTTCCCCATGGAAAGGGGCTCAGGCCTTGGCAGGGGCTGCCCAGGGAGCTTTGCAGTGCCCATCCCTGGAAGTGTCCAAGGATTCCTGGAGTGGCCCTCAGGGCTCGGGGCTGGGGATAGGTGGGGGTCAGGCACAGCTGGGACTGGGAGGGCTGGGAGGGCTTTTCCAGCCCCAGGGATTTTGGGATTCTGGGATTTCAGCACTGAATTTCGGAGCTGGGAGCAGCCATCTGAATGTTCAACCTACGTGACACTGCAGTGACAGCACTGCTGGGCTCGGTGTGTTCCTCACAAACTGTTCTTTGGGTATTTTTAACCATCTCTGCTTGGTTATAAATTCACCGAGGGAAAATCTGGCACCAAAGGCCTTCAGTGAAGGAGGTTTGGGGGCTCAGTCAACCCAAATGCAGAAATATTCCTTCCATTGGTGTGGAACCCAGACAGAATTCTCACCTTCCAAACTGACACCCATTGTCATCCTGGCAATTCCACAGCTTTACTGAACTTTTTATACATCTCCAGGAAAAGCTGCCTGCCCTTCCCTGAGAGAGAGGAGAGGGGCTGGGCTGGAATTGCCAGAGCAGCTGGGGCTGCCCCTGCATCCCTGCAGTGCCCAAGGCCAGGCTGGACACTGGGGCTGGAGCAGCCTGGCACAGTGGCAGTGTCCCTGCCATGGCAGGGTGGCACTGCAGGGGCTCTGGGGCTCCTTTCATCCAATCCATTCCAGAACTCTCTGATTCCATGGGATCTGCCATTTCCCCGGTCTCAGTGCTTAAATTTAGGTCACTTCTCCACCAGTAAAGCAGAGACATTTTCCCTTTTTCAGGTGGACACTCACAGCCCTTCCTGGCTGCTGATTTTATTTCTGGAATATCCAACGAGAACAACACCCAGGAGGGCTCCAGGAGAGCAGCTCTGTGTCAGTTCTGCTGCGGGGCTGGAGCTGAGATGCATTCAGGGGAGCAGATCCCAGCCCCACGCAGGGAAATTCCAGTGTCACACCAAGCCCCCAAGGCTCTGCAGGAGCTGCAGGGCTGGGAAGGAGAGAGGCTGCAGCCAAGAAGAGCCCCACAGCATCCCCTGCAGGCTCTGGAACAGCTCATTAACAACAGCAATTAAAGATCCTCTGCGTGGGCACCAATGGCTCAGGGAATTCTGGAACCATGTGGGTGGGAAGGGACCTCAGAGCCCCTGCAGTGCCACCCTGCCATGGCAGGGACACTGCCACTGTGCCAGGCTGCTCCAGCCCCAGTGTCCAGCCTGGCCTTGGCCACTGCCAGGGATGCAGGGGCAGCCCCAGCTGCTCTGGGCACCCTGTGCCAGGGCCTGCCCACCCTGCCAGGCAGGAATTCCCTCCCAGGATCCCATCCATCCCTGCCCTCCCTCAGCCTGAGGCACCAGGGAAGGTGATTTCTGTGGGTGTCTTTGGGCCCCAGCTGGATTAAAGCAGCACCAGCTTCCAGCCCATAAATGAATTCCTATTTATGATAAAAACCAGTGTTGGGGTGTTTGAATTCTGGGACAATGCAGGAGATATTTAATCTTCCCCTTCCAACACAGAATTCCAAGACTAACAAACCCTGCCTCCTCAGGGTTGGGAATATTTAATTCCTTGCTAACAAAATTCCAGCTGAGTTCATAGAAAGTTCCAACAAGTAATGCACTTGCTGTTACAAACCCCAAACAAAGGACTCCTTTTGCCACCTCTGCTCTGTTCAGTTCTTTTGCTCCTTCTCCATCTGCTCAGGAGCTAGGGTGAGGACACATATTTTATTTTATTTTGATTGTATGTTGTTTTGTGTTATTTTATTTATTTCATTTTATTTCATTTTCCACCCTCCCCAGAGCCATCTCCTGGACAGAACCTACCCCAGAGCTGCTCATTTGCATAAAGGACAAAATCAATATTTTACAAAGAATGTTCTGAGCCCGGGGAGCTCCTGGCTGGGAATTCCAATGGGGAATTGGTGCTTTAATTATTTATTTTTCATGGATGATCACCCAGCCTCCTCCTGCCAGCAGCTCCAGGAAACCAGGGCTCCCTTTGGGGACTGCAGTGGGAACAGCAGGGAAGTGACCCGGGGTGTGGTGCTGGGGACAGGGACAGTCCCAGGTGATCCAAAGGGACCCAGGGTGTGGTGCTGGGGACAGGGTCAGTGTCAGGTGATCCAAAGGGACCCGGGGTGTGGTGCTGGGGACAGGGTCACTCCCAGGTGATCCAAAGGGACCCGGGGTGTGGTGCTGGGGACAGGGTCAGTCCCAGGTGATCCAAAGGGACCCGGGGTGTGGTGCCAGTGCCAGGGTCACCCTCAGGTGATCCAAAGGGCCCCCGGGGTGTGGTGCCAGTGCCAGGGTCACTCCCAGGTGATCCAAAGGGTCCCGGAGCCTTTCCCAGCCCCCCTGATCCCACAGCTCCAGGAGTACCCAGGCCCTGGGTTGCTGTGATTCTCCCAGGGTTATTCTCAGCCAGTTCAGGGCTCCCCTGAGCCTCAGCAAACACAGGCACAGACAAAACATCTACACCGTTTCCCAATGTTTCCAAAATGCTCTGTGCACTCCAGTGCCAGGAAAAGCAAACAGTGAGGGGCAGGAACCCCCCAGGCAACTCCTCCTGGAAATCAGGACAAAATTCCCAAGATTTACTGATTTTTTAGGCCCATTTAAGACCATTCCTGCTAAAATAAAACTCTGAATGTTTTCACTAGGTGGGAGCACATAGAAGTGCTGAGGGAAGGACATTCCCAAAAGGAGTTTTGGGATCCTCCCACCATCCTGGTAACATCCAGTACAAAAGCCCAAAGCCAACCTCAACTCCAGCACCTCTGGCCCAGCTGAACAGGTCCAGCTCCATCCAGGGTGGATTTTAGCCAGGACAGACACAGATTCCTGATGGGAATTTCAAGCTTATCCTTTTTTTTTGCCAAGTTTTAATACAAGATCTCCTCTATTTCCTCCATAAGAATAAATAATTTTAAGCTTTGTTACACAAAGCAACAGAAAATAGCCCAAAACGTAGGGAATTCCCTCCAATTCCAGTATGGCAAGAAGTTTGGAGAACACCAGGACCACACATCCATCCAAGAACTCTCCACCTTTAGTTCCAGTTACCCAGTAACAGTTATTCCAGCCCCAGGGAATAAAATCTCACTTTACTGCACCTGCTGAACGTGAAGCCCCAAATCAGCTTTTTCAGCAAACTGTTCTACCACTGGAAAATCCACCTGGAAAACACAGATGGAGAAGGCCAGACTGATCAGTGGCTCAGCTGAATTCCCACAGAAGGGCTGGGCATGGAATTCCCAAACAGCTTTAGAGCAAAACTCCCTCCCTTTGGTGACTCAGCAGAGGGATGAAAGGGAATAAATGAATCAGCACAAATTAGAGAGAGGAAAAGGCACAGGCAGATCCCAGACCAGGGGCAGTGGATATGGGAGTGATCCCAGAAGGATCACTGTTCCCAGGAGGAACAGCAGGGAATCAACATCTGCCTGGGACACAAAAATAATTAGGCTGAGCCTACCAAAGCTCTCACAAGGACCAAGGAGCTCCAAGCCCCATCCAGCCTGGCCCTGGACATTCCAGGATCCAGCTTCTCTGGGAATTCCATCCCAGCCCTCATCACCCTACCAGCAGGAATTCCTTCCCAGTATCCCACCTAACCATTCTAATCTGTGCACCTTTAACTCATCACCTATTTCCACGGGAGAACTTGTTTTACACAAAATCTCTCCCTTTGGAGCATTAGGTGAGCTTTTCCCAACGGAATTCCCAACAGGAAAATGGCTGAGTGAGCAACTCCACTGCTGGCACTGGGAAGGATCCCGCTGCTCCCACGCCTCCAGGGAATGCCAGGGCAGCAAATGCACAATGGAACTGCTGCTGCAGGAGAGGGCAGCTCCTCCTGTGTGCCTTGAGCTGCTCTGCTGGATGGTTCCCTCTTCCTGCCCCACGATGAGCCCACAGCAGGGCACCTCCACAGGGAATTTCCTGCAACAGCCACAGCAGTGCCCAGGAGAGCAGGGAAAGAGGAGTTCCATGCTCTTCCCAGCAATTGTGGACCTGAGATCAGCTTCTGAGAGGCATTTTTTCCCTCAGTTGAACCTGATTTTAGGGAGGATCCTGGCCAGCACACTGAGAATCCCAAAATCCCTGAGGTTGGAAAAGCCCTCCCAGCACATCCAGTCCCAGCTGTGCCTGACTCCCACCTGTCCCCAGCCCAGTGCCACCTCCAGGACTTCCTTGGACACTTCCAGGGATGGGCACTGCAAAGCTCCCTGGGCAGCCCCTGCCAAGGCCTGAGCCCCTTTCCATGAGGAAAAAGCCAGCCCAGGCTCAAGGATGGCACAGGGACACAGGGACTGGGCCCCTCAGCCCAGATTCCATCCCCAGGAATATCCCTGGGACACCACAGTTCCCTCTCAGATGACTCAGGGTATCAAATACCAGGATCAATCCCAGGAGCAGCCACCAGAACTGAGCACCCAGCATCACAGAGTTCATCCCCATTACTGGGAATTAACTGGCCCTTTAAAAAGGAACCTCACAGGCCCTGGCCAGAATTCCCCCAGTGCTGGGCTGAGCCCACAGGGGAGGGGGGATTCTACCCCTTTGCTCAGGTGGGACCCCACCTGCCAAGCAGCACCCCTGGGGCTTCTCCCTGGGCAGCCCCTGCCAAGGCCTGAGCCCCTTTCCATGAGGAAAAAGCCAGCCCAGGCTCAAGGATGGCACAGGGACACAGGGACTGGGCCCCTCAGCCCGGATTCCATCCCCAGGAATATCCCTGGGACACCACAGTTCCCTCTCAGATGACTCAGGGTATCAAATACCAGGATCAATCCCAGGAGCAGCCACCAGAACTGAGCACCCAGCATCACAGAGTTCATCCCCATTACTGGGAATTAGCTGGCCCTTTAAAAAGGAACCTCACAGGCCCTGGCCAGAATTCCCCCAGTGCTGGGCTGAGCCCACAGGGGAGGGGGGATTCTACTCCTTTGCTCAGGTGGGACCCCACCTGCAAAGCAGCACCCCTAGGGCTGCTCCAGGGCTGGAGCCCCTCAGCTCCCAGGGATCCAGGCTGGGAGAGCTGGGGGTGCTCACCTGGAGAGGAGAAGGGTCCAGGGAGAGCTCAGAGCCCCGGCAGGGCCCAAAGGGGCTCCAGGAGAGCTGCAGAGGGACTGGGGACAAGGGATGGACAGGACACAGGGAATGGCTCCCAGTGCCAGAGGGCAGCCATGGATGGGATCTTGGCCATGAGGAATTCCTGGCTGGGCTGGAATTGCCAGAGCAGCTGGGGCTGCCCCTGCATCCCTGCAGTGCCCAAGGCCAGGCTGGACACTGGGGCTGGAGCAGCCTGGCACAGTGGCAGTGTCCCTGCCATGGCAGGGTGGCACTGCAGGGGCTGAGGTCCCTTCCCACCCAGCCATTCCAAGACAAAAGGACAGGGAGATGTTCCTACCTTCAGTAGAAGTTTCTTCAAATGTGAAATCTCCTCCACGGACAGAGAAACATTTGGGTTACAGTTCCTGGAACAGACCCAGCTTCAGGAAATGATTTTCATCCAGTGTGAATTCCTTTGCAAGCTTCCAATCCTGGAAAAGATTTTTGAAAGTTTCTAATAAGCAAAGGTACCTGAGGGCAAAAGGCTTTTTTTTTTCCCCTAAATGAACTTTCACAGAACCTTTCAGCTCAAAGGAAGATCACAGGCACTGACAGCCCCTGCCAAGGAGTCATCAATCAGGTCACTCAGGATCCTCCCAGTTATCCCAGCTCCCCCTGTCCTGCAGCACTGGGCAATGTGAACTGCTCAGCCCTGGAAGTGCCCAAGGCCAGGCTGGATGGGGATCAGAACAATTGGGGACAGTGGAAGGGGATCACAGAGGAAGAACTAAGCTTGGCTCAGCCCAGGAGCTCCCCCACAACCCCAGAGCTGGGATTTAACCAATGTCCTGAACTCCAGGAATTCCTGGTGTGCTGTGGGATACATCCAAACAGAGACCAACCAGCAGCATGTCCCCACAATAAATGGAAATTAAGTGTAATGTGAATATAAATGTATTTCCTCATCTTCAAATCAATGGTTACTTAACTGCAGGTACAACATTCACCCAAAACAAGAGCATTGATCTGAACAAAAACTGTTCAGGATTTTATTTCTAAACTTTGATGCCTTTTTCCCTGGAATCTGTGCCCAAAAGTCTTTGACAGAGTCCCAGATTCGGGAAGGTTGGAAAAGCCCTCCCAGCCCATCTAGTCCCAGGCTGTGCCCAATGCCCACCTTGTCCCCAGCCCAGAGCCCTGAATGCCACCTTCAGGAATTCCTTGGACACCTCCAGGGATGGGCACTGCAAAGCTCCCTGGGCAGCCCCTGCCAAGGCCTGAGCCCCTTTCCATGGGGAAATTCCTGCTGATTCCACCCTGAGCTCCCCTGGCCCAGCCTGAGGCTGTTCCCTCTGCTCCTGTCCCTGTTCCCTGGAGCACAGCCCGACCCCATGAGCAGGGGCACCTCCAACAAAAACCTCCTCAGCAATTCTCTGCTGGGCCACAAATGCCAAGGGTTCCATAAAATCCTGCACAACTCTGGCTTAAAAGGATACTGATGCTTTGGAGAGCTCAAGGCTGGAAGAGCCACGGAAGAACACACGGAATTCTCACAATGCACAGAAGAGGCTGGGACAGGGAGCAATGGGGGGGGTTGGAAGGGAGAACTTGTCTCAGTCTCAGTTTGCTTTGCATTCCACAGCCAGGGAATCCTGGAATTATTTGGGTGGGAAGGGACCTCAGAGCCCCTGCAGTGCCACCCTGCCATGGCAGGGACACTGCCACTGTGCCAGGTGCTCCAGCCCCAGTGTCCAGCCTGGCCTTGGCCACTGCCAGGGATGCAGGGGCAGCCCCAGCTGCTCTGGGCACCTGTGCCAGGGCCTGCCCACCCTGCCAGGCAGGAATTTGTTCCCAAGATCCAACCTGAACCTCTCTCCATCAGTTCTCACAGGCACTGCACATCCCTGCGGAGCCAGGACACCGAGGGATCCTGGCTGACCCCAGCAAGCGCCGAGCTCCGGCACATCCTCATGGGAACGGCTCTGGAGAGCCTCCAGGGACACCCCGGACACAGCCAGCACTCCTGCCACCGTGTCACTGCCGTGTCACCACAGCCAGCACTCCTGCCACCATGTCACTGCCATGTCACCTCACCCAGCACTCCTTGCCACCACGCCCTGCCACCACAGCCAGCACTCCTGCCACCCCATGTCACTGCCGTGTCACCTCAGCCAGCACTCCTGCCACCCCGTGTCACTGCCGTGTCACCACAGCCAGCACACCTGCCACCACCCCATGTCACTGCCATGTCACCTCAGCCAGCACACCTGCCACCACCCCATGTCACTGCCGTGTCACCAGCACACATCTGCTGGCCAAGGGACACGCCTGGTGACACTGCTCAGGGGCAAGCAGCTGACACAGCTCCTGATGATCACAATTCCCTCACATCCAGCCCCATTCCCACGGCAGAGCCTGCCGAGCTGTCAGGACAGGGCAGCAGAAGTGGAGCCGTGTCCCCCTCGGGAGGGAGCGCTGGCCAAACACCCAAAGTACTCAGCTGAAGTCTAGTGAAAGCAAAACCCAAAGGAGCTCAAGAGGCAGCTCCTTCCATGAGCAGCTGGTCCCAAATATCCCAAATACACACAAAGAGCTGTGGCTCTCATTGGAAAGGCATGGCCCAAATAATACGAACAAACTAAAAATATCAATCGAGAGTGAAAGTCCATTTTGTATAAATCAGGGAATCGTGGAATGACCTTAAAGCTCACCCAGTGCCAGCCCCACCATGGCAGGGACACCTTGCACTGTCCCAGGGTGCACAAGCCAGCCTGGGACACCACCAGGGATGGGGCCATAGGTTTCAGGGACACGGTTCAGCTCCAAGCACATGAATGAATCAAAGTGTTGCACCTTTTCCACACATCTCTGTGCCAATGCCCCGTGAACTGAGCCCACCTTCCCCACCTTGGCCACACCCTCCATGCCTTAGGACAGATGGTCTCAAGATATTTTTCCATGGAATCCACTCAGGCAAGTAAGGAAAGCTCATTACTGAGCAGACTAAAACCCACTAAAAACCTCTCCAGTGCCTTTGGAAAAGCATTTACACATTAGCAAGTCATGAACAACTGTTCAGTATATCCCAGCTCCCGTCCCAAGCTCTCCTCAGGGAACTTCCACCTGGAGCAGCCCTGCTGGAGGATCTGCAGAGCCCAGGAAGAGCAGACCCGCCGTTCCTGTGGCTGTTCCTGTGAGAACCTGTGCCAGGTGCTGTGTGTGTAACACATCCTGCTGGACACGGGGGTCAGAGCCTGCACCGGGACCCCCGAGTCCAACCAGCAGGGACAGAGCCTGGATCCTTCCCTGTGCCCCTCTGCTTAAGGGAGCTGGGAATTCAACACCCAGCACATGATGGAAGCAGAGAGCAGTCCTTGGACTCGTGGAATATCCTGAGCTGGAGGGGATCCACAGGGATCACCTGCACAGACCCCCCCAAATCCCACCCCTGGGAGCGCTGTCCAAACACTCCTGGAGCTCTGGCAGCCTCAGGACCGGGACCAGGCCCTGCTCAGGGCCCAGCACCCTCTGGGGAAGAACCTGTTCCTGAGATCCCACCTATTCCTGAGATCCCACCTGTTCCTGAGATCCCACCTATTCCTGAGATCCCACCTGTTCCTGAGATCCCACCTGACCCTCCCTGCCAGGGGCTCCTCCCGCTCTGTGTCTGCTGTTCCAGGGAAGCTGGGAGGAGGGATGCAGAGGCTGCAGTGCCCCTTCCCCACGGAGCAGGGATGCACAGAGGCTGAGGTGCCCCTTCCCCACGGAGCAGGGATGCACAGAGGCTGGAATGACCCTTCCCCAGGGATGCACAGAGGCTGCAGTGCCCCTTCCCCAGGGAGCAGGGATGCACAGAGGCTGCAGTGCCCCTTCCCCAGGGAGCAGGGATGCACAGAGGCTGCAGTGCCCCTTCCCCAGGGAGCAGGGATGCACAGAGGCTGCAGTGCCCCTTCCCCAGGGAGCAGGGATGCACAGAGGCTGCAGTGCCCCTTCCCCAGGGAGCAGGGATGCACAGAGGCTGCAGTGCCCCTTCCCTGAGGCAAATCCATACCCACTATTGCTCTGAGCCAACTGCAAGGGTTCTTTGGCTGCAAAAGGAACTGGAAAGGGATGAGGAGAATCAGGAATTCCTCAATAAAAACAACCAAAAGGTCCACTTAAACATGAGCCTCACGAGAGGAACAGAATTCCTGCCTTTCCCATACATCCCATGGCACATCCCAGGAGGCAGCAGTGGGATGGGAGCATTTGGAAAAGGACAGGCACATACAAAACCCAGCTATTTTTAACAAAATTTAAAGTCTTCCCACTGCCTCAGTTACTTTATCATGGTTGATCAGAACTATCAGCCCAGATGAGCTAAATTCAACCTTTTATATAAGTTAGAACTTCCCTCAAGATTTCACTGATGAAGGAAGAGTTTGAGAGGTTGGAATTAAGGAAAAGCATTTCCCAGGGTACCTGCACTGCTGACAGAATGGAAATACCACAAATTATTCCCTAACCAATGTCCACTCACACGAATTTTGGGATTTATTCAGCCTCTTCCCACCTGCTTTAAGCAACTGCCCAACAAAAACCCAGCATCCCTGAGGCTGGAAAAGCCCTCCCAGCCCATCCAGTCCCAGCTGTGCCCATGCCCACCTTGTCCCCAGCCCAGAGCACTGAGTGCCACCTCCAGGAATTCCCTGGACACCTCCAGGGATGGGGACTGCAAAGCTCCCTGGGCAGCCCCTTCCATGGCTAAATACACTCAAAGGAAAAAAAATAATCCCAGACTAAAACAGTTGGACTGTCCAGCTTCTTCTCTCCAGCAGGAGTGAGTGATGCAAAGACTGGGAAAAATGGTCCAGAGGTTTTCCCTTGTTGGGGGTTTTATACCAACAACACCTACACTGACTTTCTGAAGTTGGGATTTTATGACACCTTCAGCTCTTCCCTAAACCTCCTTGTCTCTGCCAGGAATTCAGGGGCTGAAGGGTGGAAAAGCTGTAAAACCATCCAGGCACCGCCCCAGTGCTCAGCCAGAAGGGCCAAGTGACCACAAACACCAACTGACCAAGATGGTCACTCCAGATTGTCCTGGTTATTCTAACCCACAAACTCCTGCAGCCCATTCCTGACTCCACACAGCCCAGGGGTCACTGGGATGGGCTCTGGCCTCTGCTGCTTCCTCATTTCCAGTAAATACATAAATAAATACATACATACACAGAGATCCTTCCACCAACTCTTCTGAACCTCAGCTGTAATACAGGAATTGAAATATTCCCAGAGCCACTGGTTCTAACAGCAAATAAACAACAGCTGAGACAAACTGCTGGACAGAGTGCAGAGACCCCAGAGCTGCTCCAGGGCTGGAGCCAGGCTGGAGAGCTGGGGGGGCTCACCTGGACAAGAGAAGGCTTCAGGGAGAGCTCAGAGCCCCTTCCACAGCACAAAGGGGCTCCAGGAGAGGGGCAGAGGGACTGGGGACAAGGCCTGCAGGGAC